CCAAATGCTTCGGCTAGTACACGGTACTTGTGAATAACATGGCTAGTGGTAATCATGTTTGCGGTCGTCCCAGTTGTAAATTTCCTGTGCATGAAGGTATGCAATGTGATGCACGTGGATGTCGGTTCCACAAAGTTTGTACTGGATTGAGACCAACCATGTACAAAAGTTGCAACAAACCAGCCTCTCCCCGGTTATGTGATTTCTGCTGCGAGCCGTTTAATATATATATATATATATATATATATATATATATATATATTTCATACGACAAAGGTTACATGAATACAAACCAGTTTACAGGTTTGATCATTCTGGTAATGAGAAATGGCTATCATATACAGCGTTAAGCTATACATTAGATACCGTTATTCATGGCATATAAGAAGTGCGTTGAGGCAGGCTGATTTCGAAATTTGGGATTATTCGGTCGTTGTTTGAATCTTCCAATATTCTTGAAGGTGGGCGCATCACATTCATGACTCTGGGGTATGTGCGTTCGTCATAAGGCTTTGATGGCAAGGTGCATACTGGCAAAATGCGATCTCTAGGATTCCATTGGAATGCAGGACCGGTTAGGTAAACCTGAAAAGTGAATGACAAAGGCAAGCAGCAGGGAAAATTCAGAACAGGAGCACAAAACAAGCAGGAGTAGACCAACCATGATACATCTGGGTGAGTTATTTGTACTGACTACAAAACTTACTTAAAGAAGTATCCAGAACCAACTGTGTAGAGGTAAGCTTAGGTGGAAGAAGATGAAGGTGCGCACGATAGTAATGAAAATAAGCCTGAGGCCGAAGATGTCACTACGAAATAGAGAGATTAGAGGATTTATGACCAGTTATTCGCTTGTTAAATGCCTATGTACAAACGTTTGATAGAGTTATAAACATTTGCGTGCTACTGAAGCCCTATGTTCCACTCGGAACCCAAGGGACTAATAATAATAATATAATAAACATTCGAGTGAAATTCACGGTTTTTTCTAAGATGGTGACCACCCCTTATCTGGTCACGGGAGGGGATGATCGTGGTGTCGCCTGCTGAGTATTACCATATCGGAGCTACCGAAACAGTATGGTGGTTCAAAGTACTTACATGTAAGCACTGATAAAAAAAGGGCAAATAATAAAACATTTTACATGCTATGAAAATGCATATCAGCCCTACTCCAGGAAGCGCTTGAAATGTTGCTCGTCAAAAAACAGCTAAGAGGAAATGAGAGCTGTCATCCTAATGCGGCATCGGATGATGACGCTGCAAGTGCTATCGTTGATACATCTGACGCAGGGTCTCTCAGTGAACTAATGGATGCTAATGATCCAGTTGGTGAAATAACATCAGTTCCGAGGTGTGCTCAATACAAGAGAAAGGGGAGGGCAAGTGGTACACCAACTATAATGCCTGAGGAGTCACTGAAAAACCGCATCTCTGATAACAGTGCTGACTCCATAAAGTGGTCAACGAATCTACCTAGATTTTTCCAAGAGAGCATCCGAAGAGACTGCCAAAGGTTATCAAGAAAGATATTAAGCTTATGAAACATATTGAGAAGGTTTCGAAAGCCGTCAACACATGACTGAAGGATTCCACTCCAACACCCAGTTTAATCTTCTGGAATGTTGAGAAGTCATCGGACAACGACGCTTCTGTACGCCACAGCCATGCCCCAAAGCTAATCGAGTCAGACATCAGACGTATTCTGCCCGAAAAGTCTAAAGGGGTACACATCTCCAACGTAGTTAGGTTAGGTAAGCATAACGGACGAAAACTTGATGAAAGGAGAATTTTAAAGTTTGTTTTAGGCAGCAAGGATGAAGTGGATGTACACTTAAGTAATGCACCCAGACTACGAAATTCGGATATCCACGAACGATCTGACTGGCCTCTCAAGGACCACATAAAAAGAAGCTGTTGCCGAACTTAAGGCTCGACAAGCTAATGGAGAAAATGATCTTAAAATAGTGGGTTTTCCGGGTTGTGAAGTCTCTGAAGTGAGCGCCTTCAAAGCCTGTATCGGTGGGTAGTGGAACTCTTCCGACCCAGTGAGAGTACTCTGCACTAATGTTCTTAGGATAAGAAGTAAAATGACAGACCTCGAGACTCTAATTTATGAACTAGGCCCTGACATAGTAGCCCCTACAGAAACTTGGCTAATCAAGGATCTAGATTTTACGCCGCTCCTCACGGTGTATTACTGTGTGGGAACAGGCAGGGTTGTAGGTCGCAAAGGTGATAGAATGCTGCTCCGTGTCCAAGGTGACGTCCGCGTACGATTAGTCACGTTCGAAGCATATGAATGCGGGACCTGTGTAGTACCCAGTTGCGAGCTGAAGTCAAAGCATGGTTTCTGTACTGTCGAGGTCATTTACCATGGTCCATCCTGCCTTACGAATGACTCCATGTTAACCCATACACGCAACTGGAGTAGAACAACAGATGCCTAACAGTTGGGGACCTGAATCCTCCCCAAATAAAATGAAAGGAGCTAACAGTCACGGCATCAGGCAGTTCCTTCGAAAATGACTTGCTCTTGACGGTCTTAGAATATGCTTTGGTTCAAAACGTAGCATGTGCAACACGTTACGATTTCCAGCACAAGCCAGTGTTATTAGATTTGGCTTTAACCCACCAATATGAAGACATTCTGGATCTACGACACCTCCCTTCATTAGCTCACAGTCACCATGTAGTGCTGACCTTTTATTTTCGTGGCAACTAGTTTGGTTATGGCGCTGCTTCCCATAAACCTAATGTATGGCACGCAGACATATCAAGCATAAGGGATTGCTCAGTCAGTAAGGATTGGACCGTCTACAAGCACTCACCAATTGAGAACGCATGGAATAGGTTTAGGACTCTATTTCAAGAGGTACCGACGCTATTTGTTCCATGTTCAACTCCACGACGATCCTCGCATCGCCCTCCATGGTTCAATGAAGACATTAAGAAATTACTAGGGCGGGGGAAACGTTTATGTGACTTGTTTCCAGAAACCAGGCTGAAAACTGGGTACAGCAAAGTCCATAATCTCTGCAAAACTCTGATCACATGGTCTCCAGCATCCTACGAGAAACGGCTTGTGAGGGATCGCCAAAATTTTCCTGAAAGATTGTTCGTATTCGTCAGAAGGGGAACTAAAAGAAAATATGAAATTCCCTCTCTGGCGACGGATGAAAAGTCCGATAGTCTGGCTGAATCAAATCTGCCCAAAGCCGAATGTCTATCTGATTACTTTGGTGAAGTCTACTCTTTAGGTTATGACGACAGAGTGCCTGACGGTGGTGTCAGCACTGTTTCACTAATAGATACTGTGTTTACAACAAAGGAAAGTCTTACAGTTGATCATCAGCCTTGAACCTGGAAAACCCCCCGGTCCCTATGAGTTACATCCCAGACTTCTATCCTCGCTAGCAGACATCATTGCTGAGCCAGTCGCAGATCTTTTCAATATGTCCCTAGCTCAGACTCGCCTCCCTACAGACTGGCATAACCAGCCCAGTTTTTATGACCGGTAGTCACCATTCGGTGTCTATCACCCTGTGAATCTGACCAGCATAGTTGTTAAGATTTTAGAAAAAGTAATTCGTGACAAGGTACCTAAACACGTTGAATTAACCAATCTTTTGGCACCACAGCAACACGGCTTTCGTACTGCGCACTCCTGTCTAACTAACCTCCTTATCGTATGAGAGGACTGGGTTGTAGCTCATGACTGCTAGCTGTCAATAGGTGCCGTGTTTATAGACCTCAGTAAGGCATCTGACAGTGTCGCATGTGAAATTACTAGGAAAACTCTCCTTCTTCGGATTTGACGCTTCATAGGAAGCTTGGATCAGGGAATTTCTGTACTATAGAAAGCAAAGAGTAAAGGTAAATGGGGTACCATCCAGGTGAAAGCCTATGATGAGAGTAGCTCCTCAAGGAACAATCCTAGGTCCACTACTTTCCTTGTTATATATCAGCGAATTGGTAAAAATGCTCAGCTCTTGGATACCGTTCTTCGCTGATTATTTGAGGATTTGAGGGGCCATACGCAGTGATGCAGATAGGTATTCATTTCAAGCAGATTTAGATGAACCAGTGGGTTGGTCCAAATGTTTGTGCCCAGGAATCAACTCTAACAAGAGTGCAATTATGCAAACTGGTCATAGCAATTGTTCCCAGTATTCCGTAGATGGTACACCACTACTCCCAGTTTTTGAACTAAAAGACTTGGGTGTCATCGTTAGTCATGAATTGGAAACCTTGGCAAGCTGTAATGCAGCCGCAGCAAAAAGCTTCCGCGCGCTACGGTCCATTGGTAGAGCTTTCAACAGTTTTTATCAGGACATGTTTAGGATAATCTACTCTACTTACGTCAGACCTCACATGGAATACTGCATTCCGGCGGTCATCCATGCCTAGAAAAGGATGTCGACGCACTCGAGCGTGTTCAAACAGTAGGTATTAAGCTTGTGGCAGGCTTTTAGAATCTGTCTTATGAGGAACGATTAGATTAGCTAAACTTATTCCCACTGTCTTACAGTAGAAGACGGGGTGATCTCATACTGGCATTTCGTGTTCTTAATAATGACTTCGGTACTGATATGTCTTACCTTTTCTCCCCTACTAGAACTAACTGTCTAAGAGGGCATCATGATTAAGTTCAAAAACCACAACCGAATCAACTTAGTGTAAGTCTGCGTTTGTGACATCGTGTTGTCAACTCCAAGAACTCCTTACCTCAGCAAGTAGTATCAGCACCTTCTGTCAACGCGTCCAAAGATAAACTAGGTCTTCACAGAGATATCTTCTGCAAGGATTAACACAGGTCGACTGACCTACTATCCTTATAACTGAAAACTAAAACTGACCAGTTTACACAGGCTCTTTTAACAGACATTGAAAAGTGGTAGTAACGCGGAAGTTCCGTTTACTATGTTACATTAGGTGATTATTAGTTCTGAAGTTATTATCGTTTCCGTGGATATTCACTCTCAAACTTCGAGTGAAATATGTTACGGGCAGTTTCTGTCGATTTTCCAGTAACCTGGAGATCGCTGAAAGATGTTGTATATAAGTTGATTCGTTGTGACTATGTTGACAGAGATTTGTGGAATTCTAGTTTTGGTGATGTTTACAGTTTGTGTACTTCAAGTCCAGTTTCTCATGCGTCAACTTTGTACAAATCTACTACGACCCTCATCAGTGAGAGGGTTGAAGAAATTGCAGCCGAGCTAGAGATATTGAGTGACTCTGAACTACTTCCTATGTATGTTAAATACTGGGAATCCTACCATCGTGGACTTACTTACTTAGATATTCTATATAGGTTTGTTCTTGGGTTGTCAAATTTCACACAAGTAGGTATATGAATACGCAACACGTCAAGAATTTGAGGCCATCGGAAGCAGATATGTGTTATGGTGCGGCACTTCCAATGGTAGACCAACATACAATGGAGATCCTGGAGGTAGGCCTTGCTTTCTGGCGACTTTACCTGATCGACTGTATAAAAACCCGTCTATCTTCCTGTTTGATGCGAGAAGTTTTGAAGTGAGTTCTTCATTTTCCTAACTTCCTGTTAGTGACAGGATGGGTATCTGTGGACAGCAAAGTAGCGTACATCAGTGTTTAGCTTCCTTCCTAAGAGTTGGAGAACTAAGAGACTTTGAAAGAGTGAGTGAAATATTGGTAGTTTCACGAAACTAAATTTTTATTTAATCCTACATGTTTTTTAGCATAATATTTGTATGTATGTATTACTCGCACAAGTTTAGTTCCAGTGAAACGTAATTTGTTAAAAGTTCTCTCTGAAAATTTCACGTTAATTGAACGGCATAGAATGTGCAAATTGTTGTTGACTCACCGAAAGAGTCAGATGTGTATGTTTACAACGTAGAAGTTGCAGATCGTTCGGAAGCCTAAGACCATGCAAACATGTCTCGTCATGTCATGGTCTGCGGTAAGCCTTAGCTGCAGACTCGTAAAATGTGCAGTTAGTCGAACCTATTGAGTCGGTGTCTGTGATACTGCCTACCTTTTTACACCTACCTAGGTAAGATGGGATGCAAAATCAATTACACCTGTAGTCAGAAAACTGTGGCGTCAGATCTACTTTCGATAGCTGTCTCGTAACCATACAGTGGAACTGGGTGAACAGCTACATAACACACTCACCCCTTATAATTAGTCAGATTTCTCACCGTTACGAGATATGGCGTAAGTTGGCAAATGCCGAATGAACGTTTTTTTTATTTGGAGTGGGATTACCGTATCTAGCAGCTTATATAAGCTGATGAAAGCGAATGTCCGGTGCTAGATACTGAGGATCCACTTGGAGGACCTGGAGAACGCTTACTCCAAACCAATGGTGCACATGGATTCTGGAAGGAACGAATGCCGTATAAACCTATTTTGGTCGCCGGTAGCTGTGAGACTGCAGCTCCTGATGTTGCTCCGCTGCCTTGTGCCTTGTGAGTCAAAGGCTCAACAAGTAGTCTCCTAAGACAACCATCTACTTCGGTCTTGGTGCCTGAAAAGTATTTTGACTATCACATAAAACATGAGATCACAATATGCAACGGAGATCTGGAAGTGCTCACCCAACTTTTCTGGAAATCCTCAAGGCTTCTGCACCGCGAACAATATTCACTTTATTATTATACTGTTTTTATTGTTTTCACATATGAATTGTATTCTTGGTATTGATGCATGCTGCATCTCTGATACCCGCATACAAGATCCCAGGGAAGTTCTGTCAATAAGTTTCCCATATGTCAGCTCAAAAAGTACGTTTTATATGTGCTTATTCAGGGATCCTATCACATTGCGACTGGTTTCGCTGGTGTAGGTGTCACGCTAAGCACTAGAGCTGCACTGCTTAACTGGAACCCCATGAACAGTCATGTGTGTTCTTTAGGCTAGAAGGTTCATCTCGAGTAAGAAGTAACCGGCAGATTGCAGCTCAGATGCAACCAAGGATGAATATTATCAACTGTATGACTTCAATCAAGTGCGCTTGACAGATTTCGTAGTGCTAGCCGAATACTTTAATGCATAGATCGGGCGTCTAAACTTAAAGGAGAGTCGTTCAAGTCGCCATTGGGGACTAGTAGACCGTAAGTCAGAAAATGGGGATCGTGTTCTACATCTTTATGCAGATCACAACCTATTTCTAACCAGCATCACCTTCTGGTACAGCCATCGCCATTGAGCTGCTTGGCTTCGTCCCTCTACCGCTCAAGCCTAGACTCAAATATATCATATTGCCATCACCTACCGATGGTATGGGTGCATACGAGACTGTCGCTTTATATGGAGTACTTGTTTAGACTCTGATCATACTCTGGTGTGTGCTTAGCTCATCTGTCTCTTTGGTTATCAAAACCGTCATCCTAAACAGGTCGATGCAAGCAAATTAGTTGCACCTAGTATTGAACTAAATACCAGTCAGAGCTAGATTCAAGGTTAGCTACCAATCCTCCAGGAAATGTAGACGAGCATTAGCTACACTTGCAAAACACCATGAAAATGGCGAGTAAAGCCGATTGTGGCTTGGAAGAACGTCCCGCTAATAAACACAGGATCTCTACGAGCTCCCCGCAACTTCTGGACGCCCATCGGACCATTCCGGTGGATAACGAATGCAGTGGTTCGCGCAAACCTCTTACACAAAAGATTACCTAGCGCTTACTCAAGAACCATAGGGCTTAATGTTTAGAACGCGCGAGTGAGATGGAAGTAGCAGCTGCTTCCTGCAATAGTCGGGAGCTGTTCTAGCTCATCCTGGCCACTGGCAGCAGAAATCCTGTTGTTAGTGAGATGGTCCTTGAGGTAGTCGATATACCGACAGACAATTTTCAAATACGCCTTGAACGCCGGTGCAATGCTCTAGCATCTTCAGTTTCAGTGTATCGTGCTCGATAGTCGGTTAACATTGACCTATCTAACGTTGTGAAAGTCTGTAACAAACTTCAAGTTCTGAAATGCAACAAAGCTCACAGGCTAGATAATTTAACCCCGGCGCTTTTTAAGGATGGAGAAACAACTCTAGTCAGAGGACTGACTAAATTTTTTGAAAAGGTATGGCAGACAGAGTGTCCTATCACTCTAGAATGAGACCGCCAGTGTGATTGACTGACTGAGTAAATCAACGTAGAACCTTCGCATACAGGTGCATCAGCTCAAGTTGCTACACTTCACAGTAATAGACAAAGAATAGGTGGATAGAAAGTGATATCAAAAAGATAAGGTAGTTTAGGAGAATAAAATATCTGAGAATAATGATTAGTGCGAATATTAAAGCTTTAAAAGAAGTCAAGAAGTGAATAAATGTTCTCCATTGTGACCGATTTTCAGCCATGTCACTGAGTCCTCAACCACTGATTCCTGTTGTCTCAAGAACCCCAGCCAGGCAGTCTACATTTCCCCGAAAGGCTCAGATTAACGGTAAGAGACTTCATTGACTGGTGCCAGGTCTTCGTCTGGCCACCCTTAAGATTCTCACAACCTAATCCAACTTCTATCTTAGTCTATTTACTGGAAGTGTCATACAGTTAAAAAGTATCAATGTGTGACGTTTCTTATAAACAGTAAAATGGAATTACAATCTACCACAGTACCCAATTTTTACCATTATACTAATCCAACTTCCTCCAACATGGCACGTCGAGGTAGGCGGTGTCTCGGCATGCACAGTGCAGGCCCTAGCCACCTTAGTTGATGAAGGTTCACAGCCTCATCAACCGACTTGCCTGTCTTGCTTGGTACACTTCACCTGACCTTAACACTATTCACATACAGATTCCAAAAAAATGCGAGCAATGCCATGAAGACGTTTGTGAACAAAAATCTGTAACCGCTTCATGTCTTCTACTTTTAACGACATATCTCACAGTCGTACACCAGAACAGTACGGACTACATCGGAGTATACTCGTCCTTTGACAAGTAGTCGAATATCTCGTTAGTTGGTGCCACAGGTGACGCAGTCTTGCAAATGCCAAACAGACCTTTTGTGTCCGAGCTGAGATTTCTTCAGCAACCAGCCGGTTTGAGCTGATGCAACTCCTCAATTAAGTAAAGTGGTCGACACGTTCCGCCACTTCATTCTCTATAATTGAACTGGAGGTACTTGCAACAGACCAGTTCTGCATCATCATCTCACATTTAACAAGTGCAAAACACATGCCAAACATACTGAAATTTCTGCTCAACGCGTCCAGAGACTGCATTTTTTTATCATCTTCACCTAGCAGGACAACAACGTCTGCATACTCCAAGCCAACCAGATGACCCCCAGGGAGTAGGCCAATCCCTATGTAGTCAGACGTATCTAAGGTTATGACCATTAGTGCGTCTATGATGAAGTTAACTAAGAACTGTGACAGTGAACTTCGTTGCCGGTCACCACTAGTTGTCGTCAATTCAGATGACGACTCTCCATAAGCCCTTACACGGCTGCATGAGTTCAAGTAGAAAACTTTGATCAGCGTTATATACTTGCTCCGTATTTCTCCTATAGTCAGACACTGCCACAACACCTTGCAGTCGAAAGAGTCAAATGCCACCTTCAGACCAAGAAATGTAGCGAGTGTCAACTACTAGCCGGTAGGTATGTCTATGTTCCACAACCTGTCGAAGGGTAAGCATACAATCGATGCGCCCTCGTCCAGGTCCGAAACTAGTCTAGTTATTGTGAGTTTGCTGTTTTCGGTATCTAGTTAGGCGTTGGATAACTGTAAAGCCTAGGATCTTGTACACAATATTAGTCAAACTAATTCCCCAATATTTTTCATAAGATTTCTCCCCCTTATAGATTAGGATGATCAGTGGATTAGACCAGTCTGACAGCACTCTCTCTGATTCCCATATGTTACGTAGTACGCTCGTCGCTTCAATTATCAATGACCTACCTCCATCCTTGAAAACTTCATGTAGCAAACCATCGGGTCCTGCTGCTTTGTATCGTTTCAGGTTCGATATAGCCTTTTCAACTTCAAGGAGAGTTGGAGGAGCGACATCTACGTCAGATTAGTGTTCAGGCTAGACGTTACGCAACTGAAGGGTTACTGATGCCTAGTTGAACTGTGCTTCAAAGTGTTCTGTCCAACCTTCTATCTGCCTGTCCTGGAAGGTTATCAGCCTTCTACCGTTTTCGTTGATGGTTTCACTCACCATTGTCTTCATACTGGTATCCCTAATAAGCCCAAATAGTTGCCATGTGTTACTCAACACTGATGCCTTCTTCATCTTCATCACCCACCACTGCTCATGATCATTGCGAAGACTCTTGGTCAGCTTACTTTTAAGTTGCTCACGTTTTTCATCATGGTGAGAGCTTGCTGGAATCAGTCTTCTCACATCAATCAGTTCGAATGACACTGCAAATCCAATGATATTTGAAAATCTTCGGATGTATGTTAACAACTGTCTTCACCACTATTTCTACAGCAGACTTAATATCACACCAGGTTTCCTCAGCATAAACACTACTGTCACATTCAAATAAATCCTTAGCTAACTCCTCTCTAAATGCGTACTTGGCATCCTCACCTACTAACTGAGCACGAATGGGCCTCACTGCCTCCTATTTCTTGTTTTCAGGAAGACTCAGACATACACGGACCCTTACTATCACCTGATTGGAGTCCAAACTGGTACTCTAGAAACAGTAGCAATCCTCCACCGATCCTCTCCAACGACGGCTTACAGAAATGTGATCTATTTATTTCCATCGTTGTTTTGAAGTTGGTGGACACCATATAAGACAGTGTCACTCCTGATGCCTAAAGTTAGTGGTAGCCGGAAACAAGTAATTATCGGAACAAAGTTGCAACAGACGAACAACGTTGTCAGTTCGTTGGCATATGATTCCATAGATACCTCCAAGATGCCTTTGAGATTGGCTCAGCTCAGCCTTCCTATTTGAGCTTAAAGTCACCTACCATTATGATTACATCTGAACGTTTTGCTTTATGCAGCGAAGTTGACAGCTTCTCACAGAATTCATTCTTTGCATCTTCCGGACTACAGTCTATGTGTTTAGGTGGGGATTGCGAATAGGCATCGCTTATTCTCATGACCGGTCTTAGTCCTTACAGATTCACTCAATCTAACTGCACATAGACGGCTGTTTACTAGCATCCAGTAAAGAAACACACTTTCTGCTCTACAACTTGATGTCATGCCTACAGCAGCGACTCCATAAGAACTAGCCATTGGATCTCCAGATACTCCTGAGGTGAATTTTACAAGATTTACTATTATGGCCAGGTGGGGTCATTTCATTAACTACACTCGGGTCCTGTATGTATGTCTCAGAGATAGCATACATCCATGGCTAGAGACTTCAGGGTTCTGGTGAGCGATGTCTACTGTTGGATCTGGCATAGACTCCGGACATTAAAAGCTCCTACATGAAATCGATGGTGGGGTCTTAGGAGACTGGGAATGAGGTTTCGATGGCTTTGGTCGTTGAGAGTGTTTGCAGAGGGATAGATTGGGGCAGGGATAAGAGGCGTAGTATTAGTATCACCCTCAGACTCCCATCATACTGTAGTAATATACACTATAACGGTAACTGCTTTTCGTCTCACCACTATCCAACAGACCTCTCTAGCATAGTAGGACCTCGGGGGAACAAGCTTTTCACCAGCATAGCTCGTTGGGTCATTTTGATATGTAAGACTGACTACCATGTCAAGGTAGCAGCTATCAGTCAGGATCTTCCAACGGTATGGTTGATCGGTAGCAGCCAATCTTTAAAGGGGGTCTACGTAATGTATGTGATAGTCATCATGGTATTGGTCTGTTTCCAGTCGCGTCGAAAATATTGGCTGCTATCATACTTCGCAGACTGAAGAACTCTTGGAAAAATTATTCTCGAGGAGTAGTCCGGGTGTCGTTTATGTCGTGGTTGGATTAGCCATGTGTTTACCCTCCGCCAAATGCTTAAGCATCGTCACACGTGTTTCCTAATACTAGGCGTGCCTTCGATTCGCTGGATAGAGCTGTACTCGTATTGTCTATTAGAGAAGGGCGTCTCTGAGAAATTTATTAACGTACTGAAAGCCCTGTATAAAAACACCTCAGGTATATTGAGGACCAACAATCGCCTGTCTCCATTGTTCAAAACCATGAGTGTGGTTGGGCAGGATTAACCGATTTCGTGATTCCTCTTTAACTTCGCTATCGATGGAATTCTTGAAGCAGCTCTGAAAGAGGAGGTGAATGATCGTGGTGTAGATCTGCTACTTGGAGAACGGCTATTCAACCTTGGATGTGCGGAAGATATTGTCTTACTGTGCGACAACATAGGCTACTCAAATCGCACTTAACCAGTTGGCGATTAGTGTCCGTAAGTGTGGTATATGCTCTATACCATCGGTGTGCAAAAGTACTTTTGCAAGATTGACTGGAGCCCTTTTCTGCGCTCACCTTTGGTGGTGAACCATCAGAAGTAGTCGAAAAGTTGCTTTATGTGGGTAGTCGTGTGAGTGCTATTAGAAGTGTGTGATGAAATTTCTAAGCGCATACTCAAAGCCAGAGTGGCGTACGCCAATCTGGTCCACCTTTGGCACCATCGCGACGTTAGTCTGACCGTTAAAGGTCGGGTTTACAACACTTCGGAGCGAGCATTTCTGCTTTAAGCTTGTAAAATCTTGTTTCTCCGAAATGAGAATGTGCGACGACTATGTGTTTGGTCATCTTTGTCTCTGTAAGATTGCTGTTATTTGGTGACAACACTATGTAGGTAATTCTAAGGTACGACGATGGCATGATGGAGATAGTCATTTAGTAAGTGAAGTCATCTTGAAACACCGGCTTCAGGGGCTTGGACATATGTTACGCATGTCGTCCAAACGGCTTCCATACCGTTCATTATTTACTAGCCGTGGGACTGGATGGAAGAAGCGGAGGAGTGGTCAGTGTACGTGGTGGTGCCGTGGTATGAAGGGTAGTTGTGTCGGGTCAACGTCTGTTGATGCATCACTACTCCCCGGTTGGTATGCGAGAGCTCACGCGACTCAGTGACTTGAGAGGTTGCCAGATATAGGCCAGAATCGAAACCGGTGGCGGTCATGCTGCAGTTTCCTTCTATCTTCTGCTACTGAAAAGTAATGAATGTTTTGTTTTGAATGTACCCTACTGAACTGCCCTTCTAATCATTCTATTCTTATTGTGTTTTATTTTTATCCACTTCCCTTCGCTTTACGTCTTCATAATGCTGTTATATTCTTTTCTGTAGTGCATTTCTTGGTGCCCTTGCTGTATCATTTCTGTGTTTTAATAACAACAACATAATGATAAAACTCCTCAATTGTAGCGGTCACTTTATTGTATTCCTCTTCTGCGTATCCTAGTTTAGTTGTTACAAACCTGTCCTGAAGCATCACCTTACATTTAACGGGTATGAAATGCACGTCGAATGCACTCAGTAATAAATCTGTAGCAAGATAGGGATTTATAGCAGTAATAATATGAGTAAGCAAAGTAGGGTCATATGTTATTTTTTCATTGTGGAAAGCCCAAAAACACCACTGATTTAGAATTAAAGTTTTATTGCTCCCTAAAATGGACCTCTATATTCACTCACCTACCAACAAGTATTTGGTATTCTCTTTAAACTTGACTTTTATATATTTACGTTGGCTACTTGAAGGTTAGTTAAATGGACTTTTATGGTTGACGGTGACTACATATTGCAAATAAAAGCATTTACGCAGCAAAATATGACCATGCGTTGAGTTATGACAGGATGTTCTCAGAGTTCCTTTTTGATATTATTCATTAGATTGCATAAAGCGTGTGAAGCAGTGCTTTGTACCAATTATTTCACTCTAAAAGATTCTTGATCCTTCTCTTCTGATGATCTTTACGTATCTTGGTTGCAAGTTCCTACGAGTTCTGTGTGCATCCCTCCATTCTGTATCTTGCGACATACAATTAGCTGATTTAGACTTAGTTTTCCCTGGCACACATAATGTCATATGCCATATTCCTAATGTGAGGCATGTATTGTACTACAAAGATATAACACACACATAAACGATGTTTTTTCTTTAGTGTGTCATCATTTCTTCGGAGTTTGGTAGAAATTGTTCATAATTTGATCACTGTTGACTGAATGTGCTGAGTTTGGTTTGCGTTTAAGTGGGGATTTTAGTATATGTTTAAATGCTGATAACATAAATTCTCTCTACCATCGTCTGACTGAATGTTTTATTGATGGCACATACGTTTATTGTCTATCAATTAGTATTCTATTTTCATCCAGTTATTTTCTCTTTTTCAAATTGATATACTAACGTTTTCGTTTTGATATAACTTTAAAGGCTGGGATGGAGATATACAACCAAATATTTCAAAACCCTCTTATTGATGCAACTCGATCCTTTTACTCTCAGTGGGCATGCCAAAGAGAGTCAGAATTGGGATGTGCTCAGTATGTAACTGAAGTATGTTAAACCATGCCGTTTTTAATATGCTTTCACCTTTTTCACTTCACAGTTACTTGTACCGCATTCAGGACTCATTAAAAGTTGTTCCATAGCCATAATATAAGACTACGTAAGCGTGTGTTCTATTGTCTTGACTTCAGTAGTCCTACCATTCTCTCTATTTTTAACCCTTGAGATACTCATCAGATGAACTTGTTCTGTAGAAAAGAAAAACTAGGAAGAATAAGCAAAAGGAAAATGACTAACGGGTTACACTTAAGTATTCAAATTTTTGGTGACAAACTGAAATTGACTGTAACTATATCACTGGATATGGCTCTAAAAAGTAACTTTTGGTGTGTACTGTTATACAGTTATTTAATCGTGATTATACGGCTGCACTTTGTAGGAAAAGTGTTCGCGTTCACTATCCAAAGGTCCTATAGAACGGTCACCTTTGAACGGCATTTCCCATGGTTCTTAACCAATAAATCGTTGCTGCCAAAGTTAAAGTCCTTTGTTTGACTTGGAGCAGTACTATCTTATAAAGCGTATTTGATATCTGGTATGTAGAGACTCTTTTAGATTGGGGACAGTGTAAAACGTGGGTTTTCAACACTGAGTTGCTGCATTATTGTTTTACATATCTTTTTATATTATCGCAATCTCATCGTCTCACTGCACCTAATTTCCCTTTAGTATTTCACTTATAATTGCTTTGTCCTTCAAATTCGCTGGTTTTCCAAATTTCACTTCGGTCAGTCTTTCCTTCAAAATCTTGTTTTACAAATATGCCGAAAAGTAACAAAAATCCTCATTTAAAGTTATCTTGATGAGGTTCTCTAGGTGGTGGTTATATAGGATGGTGCTTTTATATCAGATTTATGTATTTGGTATAAAAAATCGTGATATAGTTTTGAAATTAACAAATAATCCACACAGTACAAGGTATATCACTGTGTATTGTATTGGATAAAGAAATATAAAATTATTCTAAACTACTGTTCTGAAGTTTAATCTCACAGTAGGGTGAAGATTTTTCTTGCAGTCATTTGACAAGTCACCTGGTATGACTGATAAGAAAGCTGTGGCATATTATATATATATATATATATGAAAAAATTAGCAGAAATGGGAAAATAAGAGCAAACATTGGGTGCCTTTACGGCTTCATTCTCATTCATCAACCCTTAATGTATTCTATCACATCTTCAGACAAACTTTACGACATAGGTGACCTCTCGTTCACCTGCTGTCCAGTCTATTTTCGCAGCACAAGTAAACCCAGTCATATCATCAAATTTAAAACTACAACACTGAATCCGTGTAGACCCAGTGTGTCTTATGTGGCTACATAACTCTGCTTTGAATACTGTTTTCGGCGTATTGTTATTTCATAACGTTCTTGGATCCTAGTGACCAAACATTTTGATTTATTGAGAATGCTTCATGTACCCAACATGTAGCCCACACTTGAATGAGACTTTGACTTTGATTTTCTAACTCCTCTCAAATTTGAGAGAGGTATTTCAAGCCTGAGACGGTACAGTGTCTGGACCTAATGGTCACTACTAGGAGTTTCAACAATAAGGGTAGAAAACTGCTTAGTGGATTAACCAATATTCCAGTTTGTGCGTGAGAATCAGAGGCAGTCCTGTCAGCCTGATCTAGACCGTTAATTATTCCAGTCCATCAGAAGGAAGGGAATTCCTGTGATAACTATACAGCGACCAGTTTAACTAACGTCGTATCCAAAATTCTATGGTCAACAGTTACGTTACACCTCACTAGAGCTGGAAAAAAGCAGGGTAGTTTCGAACCTGGACAAGGGGTTATCAATCAAATCTTCACCCTTCAGGTTTTGGAACACCTTCCATATTTCTTGACCTGAAGTCGAAATTCGACTTTATCCTCCATAAGATGTTTTGGTACTATCTGATTGTAAAGAGAATACCGCTCAAGTACGTAATTCTAATCAAAGCTGTCTACTCGAACTCATGCAGCCGTTTAAGGGCTTATGGAGACTAGTCATCTAAATTAACAACAAGCAGTGATGTCCGTCGGAGGTTTCCTCTGTCACCGTCCCTGTTTGATCTCTTTAAAGACGTGCCAATAGATATAACTCTAGGTATCTTCTTCTCTTTAGAGACTGACTTACTCCCAGGAGGACACCTAGTTGACTTGTAATGGGCAGATGGCGTGATCCTGTTAAGTGAATATGCTGACAAAATGAAGAGTTTTCGTAACTTTTCTAGTGGAAATCTGAGTATGTTTTGGCATGCATTTTTCACCTGTCAAATATAGGATGATGCCTCAGGACCGGCCGGTACCAGTGTCTAGCATAAGGATAGGGACCAGTTTACACATAATGTTGTTCTTTGCATGCTACATTGAAGTATAGCAACCTAGACCGATGCATTTTTGTGCTAGGTTCTACGTTGATTTGTCTGTTTATTAGTGAGGAAGGAAATCATACTCCAGTCATAGTTTGAACAATGCAAGAATAAATGCAGAATAAAATGAGCTCATTTTATTTCATGGCCTTTCATCAGCTGCAAACAGCCTACAATTGGAATGAATTATTAGTAGTAGTAATAACACAACATACTTTAAACACACAGAAATAAATGGAGATTTGAAACCCAGGATTAACAATGAGGTAGTAAGTCAAGGAAACACATGATTAATTGCATCATCTCTTCATTAATTAATTACTGGATATTAATCACTTAACGATTTTCAAGTTGTTCGTGTGGTTACGTAATTTATTAGCTCTTAAACAGTCCCCTCTTTTACACTGGTTTTCGTTTGTTGTCTCCCCACTCCACAGCTTCAGAATTTTCCATCTCATCAGATATAAATAGCCATAGATTTTGAGTAAGATATGTAACTGTTAATCTTGTGTTTCCTTGTCTCACTACCTTATTGTTAATCCTGGGTTTCAAATCTCCATTTATTTCTGTGTGTTTAAAGTATGTTGTATTATTATTACTACTAATAATTCATTTCACTTGTAGGCTATTTGCAACTGAAATAAAATGAGCTCAAATGTCATTGTTCTTGCATTCAAATTTGTCAAGGGAACTAAATGTATGACATCAAGTCAAAACGTTTCACACTGGAAGTTTAAAATATGAAACCTACTTATTCCCGTTTTATGAGAACAGAACCCCGTTGCACTTTTGTTTTATTGGAGTACTTCGCCGATACAATCGATAAAAGTATTCAGATATTATGCTCATTTGTTATACATATAAAAGGGTCTTCGGAAACCAGTTTATCTGTTTTTTACCAGCATCAGAAAATTGCATAGACTATCGGTATTGTGCATAGTTTGTAAGTACTTTATAAATTTTTTATTCAGGCCCTAGCTTTACGAGCAGAAGAACACAATCGTGCTATGCAATACTATAAATGTTCGCTATTACCAATACAAAGTTTGTTCCAGGAAATAATTGTTGAACAGCGTTTAAATTTCCTTAACATGAATGTACGGTATGTTATTGCAGAAGAAGATAAATCTAGTAAGTGGACTACTTTATGTTGATGTGTTATTTAGATGAAATAAGGAGTATATTTCAATTCGTTTTGTATTTATATTATCGGAATCTGCAATACTTTTCACGTTATAGAATAAAGGGGTTTTTATAATATATTATGCAGTCTACCAATCGAATGAAGCGTTACGTTTCAGCACATGGAAAAGTTTGGAAGCTGTACTTTGAATGAAAACGTGATGCGACACTGCAAGCAGCCTATTACTATTTGAGATCAAGCTAAACTATGTTTTCGATGAGGTAGACGGTGATTAGCCGTGTCTAATACATCTCGCTATCATTTCAGTCAACGAGGGTTCGCAACCTCATCAACTGAATTTCTCCTTCTGCTTAAAATGTTACGACTAACTTCAACGTTACTGACGTGTAAGATTCGCCTGAATAGATACTCTTGAGAGTTGTATAAAGTCAAAAGACTGTATAGGCTATCTCGTAACAGTAACTGGTACATAAATTTGCATACTTACATTCAAGGTGATTTAACAGCAAACAACTCTTGTACTATAGTTAACAAACGGTAAAAATGACAGGTTCAATATGGCCGAATGCCAACTTATAGGTCCGACCAACCAAACAACAGCAAATGTACAGAGAACAACAAACAGCCAATCACAGGATGGTAAGAAATGGCAAATAAATGTCAATTGCTCATAAGTAATATCAGTAACAGGAGAAATTTAACTTGACGTGATGACACCATGACGGCCTATGCTACAAAGACAACGGTGGTAGAACAGCTGAAGCCTTGTCATTTACTCTACTTTCAATCACCATGTTTCACAGCCATACACCAGAACGGAGCGAACTACTGCCCAATACACTCGACTGGGGATATTTGTGATCCCTTTGCTACCCCTTCTGTTTGCCGATATATTTTGTCCTGAAACTTGAAGACTAGTGGTCAAACACAACTGTACGCCTGATATGATCTTATCAACCAATACCTTAGTTTTATGAGTTCTCACTCATTCATAAGAACACATAAGAAGCGAAATAATAACAGTAATGTGAATATGAATAATAATGGCAACACAAGTAGAAATGAATTCAAGGCCTTTCTGTAAGGAAGAAACTTTACATAGAATCTTCAACAAGGCTGGAATCAGCGTGATATTCAAACCTACTAGCTCATTCAAAGATAAACTTTGTCGGCTTAAGGATCCGATCGGCCCAAGTAGACAAAATTTGACATACCAAATTCCAGGTAATGACTGTCTGGCCTCCTACTGAAAACTAAACGTTGAAATGAGGTTGTTGTTCCTTCCTTATAAAGAGGCCTTGAACTCATTTCTTCTTGTGTTGTCATTATTGTTCATATTCATACTACTGTTATTATTTTGTTTCTTATGTGTTCTTACGAATGAGGGAGAACTCATAAAACTAAGGTATTGGTTGATAAGATCATGTCAGACGTACAGTTGTGTCTGACCACCACAGTCTTCAAGTTTTAGGACAAAATATATCGGCAAACAGAAGGGATAGCAAGGGGATCACAATTATCCTCTATCGTAGCAGATATATTTATAGATAGTTGCGAACACACGGCCTTATGAAAATTCGATCCTACACCTGAGATTTGGTGGTGATATAAGAATGACATGTACTGCTTTGAAATCGGAACATGTCGACAGTTTCTTTACACATATAAACTCACTAGTAAATCCAACCCAGTTCACTTACGCAGTAGAAAATGAAGAATTAACTATGTTGGGTTGCAAAGTAAAACGAATAACATACAGTGGTTTGGCTTTTAGTAGGAGACCAGACAATTCAGTAGAACTTATCTTTTATTTCATACAAATTCCCGTAAGTGGGTGCACAAGCAAGTATTAAAAAGAGTCATCAGTTAGTTTCCCTTTTTTGTGTTCCTTACTGCACCATTCAGTCTAGTAGTGCACTTTCTGCCTTGTCATTTAATGAAGTTCCTACGCCTAAAAGACTACAAAAAACCAACTATTGAATCTCCAGAAACTCGAAGGGTGAGTTTTATTGATTCATCATATTCTTCGTATGAGGTTAAGTGGTTGACTACATATGGGCCTTGTGTGGGTGTCTCACAAACACGTATGTGGCCTGAGGCACCAGACTTTTGGCTAGTGAAGCTAGTTGTCCGGTTTAATAGAGGGTTGTGACTTTGAAAGCTCTAATATGTAGTTTGTGGCGTCTTTTCAAAAAGCTAAGTATGCAGTTCTGTAAATCCGAATCCGTGTTATGGAGTACAGAGTACAGAGCTGCAAAATATTGAGAAGGACGTAAGGATATTGGCGTAAAGATATGGGGAATTATTAGATGACAGAAATGTGGAAGGTTGATGATGACTTGAAGGTGTTTGGACACTGACGGAGTTGTGAAAGTGATTGACATCTCCAGGCTGCACACCTCATAGGAGATTACTGTTTTTTAGTTATCTGCTTAAAACATGGAATTAGTTGTATTACGTGATCGCAAAAGCCATAGGACATCTGCTTGAGGCCTGTCAACTATTGACCTTTCTAGAAATGTGAGGTTTAGTTTTAGTTGATTTACATACAGCTAGGAAACCCATACCACCTGCGCAGGAATACTGCGATCTGCCTGGGAGTTTGTTCTGTTTTTGGTATCGGTCTTTCCTAAATCAGCTTCCCACGGGGTATATTGCATCAGTGTGGGCTGCTTGTCGGTCTCATACGGCCGTTTTGATAATGTGAAGTTTGGTTTTAATTTATTCACACCTAGCTAGGAAACTCGCTAGTGTACCTTAGGATGGGGGATTCCTATTTCGGAGACGGACCTTTTCTAATCTTGTGTCTATGGCAGCATCGGCACGATGTTGTTGGTCTTCCACAGAGAACAACATACTGCTGCCACATTACTGTTCAGTCAGTAGTACGTCTTCGCCTCCGAATCCTTATCATGGCATAGCTGTTTGCACTATAAGGGTAACTGGTTTTTGTTTTTTAACTGTCCATTTACATTTCTTGCATTGTACTACCTCAAAAAACAAATACTGTTTCCAGCAATGCTCATTGAGTCATTGTTATATGCAATAATGGCCATCACTTCAAGACGACGCTGTCTGTCGGATAATTAATATATGATAAAAGATGACTAGTACTGACTTGTTTCTCAAAACTTTGTGGTGTTATGTTGTATGAGATTTCCGTAATTGCAGAAGAGTGATTGTGGTTAAACCTAAATTAATATTGCACTTTTGTCAAAATGAAGATAATGGAAATTATCTAGCTGATTAAAACTGTGATCAAATCCACAGATAGTTGCCATGATTCATGTTTTGAAAGCCCGAGCACAAACTTTCTACTTGCCGTTAGTGACGAGAACTATTACTATTATTATCATTAATATTATCATCGTTAATATCGATTTCCGGTTGGTATTCATCATGGACTGACATCAGTTGGAGAAACGTTAGAAACTTGGGAGCACTAGACAGCCCACCCATGACCTCTCCAGGGATCGAACCCAGGACCTTCCGGTCCCACGGCCAGCAGGTTACCATTGAGCCACTGGTTCCGAATCCATCGGTCTATTTTTTCTATTTCTGCCGGTTCATGGTATAATGCGACCTGCATCCAATGCCGTCATTGAGTAACTGTCCTCATGTTCGACCTGGTTGGCCCCACCGGTCATGATTTCCGATTGGAACTTTGGGAACCACCTTTCAAAGTTAGTCACTAGTCGTGAAGTGACAGAAGTAGGAAATATAGACCATTGGATTATAACTCAGCGGCTTAGTGGTAACGTGCTGGCCGTGGAACCTTAGGGTCTTGGGTTCAATCCTTGGTGAGGTCATGGGTGCGCACTGTTAAGGAGTCCCTTATTGGAACGAAACAGCTTTCCATTCCCCCTAGGTTTCCAGTGTTTCTCCAACTGATGTTAGTCCAGGATGAATGCCAACCTGAAGTCAGCAAAATCCCCGCAAACCTCCAAATTTATTCATTATTATTAACATTATTACTACTATTGTTATTATCATTATTATTATTAAAGTAAGTACAAAGTGAGCGCTATTAGTTGCAATACTGTCTCGTCTACGGGCGGTCTACATATTTCCTGAAGTAAAGTAAGCTTACCAGAAGGGGTTTTCAACTGTTCTGGAAATCGTACCAATTATTCAAGAGATAATGATGATGATGACTTTGGCGGTCCAGAAAACGGTTAGTAGAGCGGGATTAGGGCGAATGACCTGTTAATTGGTGTGTAGGATAAAAACTACTGAGCCATAGTTCTCTAATATCGTGTAGTTCTTATTGGTAACTTAATTATTGATTCGTAAGTGATCTTTTCTGTCCTAATTCGGTAGCAAGTATTTAGAATCTGTGCTAAAGATTTTTGTACTATCTATGAAACTATCTCTTTTCTAAAGTTAAATACCCCTTGTGCTATCTGAGAAAAAATTTTCAGGGCTTTTGGTGATTTGTTCATCATTGCTGTTCATAGTTGTTTTAAAGTAACACAAAATTTTCGTTATTCCCTGTCTAAATAACCCCTGAACAATGGCATAGTAATATTCGGCAACTGAAAACGCTTTAAATACGTATGTCAAAAACGACACAAATGAAGATTGGTAAACATGTGCCGTGGAAAATCTCACTAAATACCGGTAAAATGTTAAGAAATTATGTTGCACACAATTTGTACGAAAAGTCTCTGCATTCTAAATTCGAGGTGGATTGACTTTCAGCTTCTTCGTTTGTGTTCTGTTTTTTCTTTTTGTGCTTTTCATTCACTTCTTCAGAACACCTGACCGATTGAATGATAACTCTAATTGCTTTTTTTATGGACATCATATTATATATTATTCACATTCACTGGTATACGTAGTACATAAAATATATACATATGACCGTATTCATAGAGTAGTGAATTTTACTTTTTAGATTTACGAAATCTCTTTCAATTGCTATCTCCAAACAATCTTTGTAGCGAACTTCTACACTGCTTTGGTGAGCACGTTCGAACAAGTATCATAGAAGCAATTTCCAATCTTCCGAAAGATACTTCTGTAAGTTGTTAAAAAATGTATGGAATCTCGTTGCTTAAAATATGCAATAAGCGGTAAATTTGTGTGCACTTTTATCACACGTTGAATATTTACTTTGACTATCATTTTACAAGTAAACCATTACTAAATCCTACTAAAATATAAATGCATGCGACTGACAACTCATAGATTGGAAGGAATATACATTTTGGATTCTATCGCTAACTGTAACCAGGTAACTAATTAGTATCAGGATTTAATCTATGGTATTATGACAGAAATAGGAGAAGCAGTTCATGTTTTTCTTTTTACTTCATCTTATTTGTTATAAAGTAAGAAAATTTTGGACTCCTTGTAGAGAATACACTTTTGTGAATATTTATTTTTCAAGTTAACACAGGTTCATTTTATTGAGAGTCTTCTAAATCTTCGAAGCAGATTTTTGGACTATATTGATGATGTTTTTGATGGAAAGGCCGCTTTTCGTAATCAAATGGATAAAGCTTTCAATTTGGCTGTGAATGGTCGTGTACCATCTTCGAGTATCCTAGCTTCAACATCTCGGTTAGTTTCTTGAGTATTGTAGTACAAACCTGTATATGTATATTCAAGTTTGCAAGCGTTTACAATCGCTTGTAGTAACTAAATTCTGTCTATCATTATTCATTAAAGTACTAAATAGGGAAAGTTGTGTTCTGTAGTGTGACATATTATCGTATGACCCAATACTATAGTCTGTGTAAAATGTCGTTTCTTTAAAGCATCGACATCATTGCTAATCTTTTCTATATGTATGAAATGATTGTTGTCACTAATTAATGTTCGTTGATTCCATGTGGAATCGTTAGTCAAATTATTTAGTGACGCCAAGTACGCATTATTCAAGTCCTACCTCAAACATTTAGTAACCCGAACCTCATAAATATTGAATGGAGAAAACAACTTTATTGACATGAATATCTTTGGAAACTAGTGCCTACCATCTTATTCTTTTACCATTATGCTGTTCTGAGTTTGAATAGAGCAAGGGATTGAGGGGTTACAGAAAATAAGCTAGCTAGCGGTGTATAATCGCTAATCTTTTATTGCTTCATAATTTCTCAAAAAACGTGTATCCATAATATTTCAGTTGACACCATGTACAACTGTTGTTCAACTTGTGTGATGAGAGTGACCGCACGTAATACTTTTTCGAATTCAGAGCCATATGATAGGTTTTTCCAGCTTGTTTCATTACGTACAAAATTCTGGATCTTCATGTAGTTATTTGTCTTGATGTTCACGCAACCATTTATTGAGGTTGACTTTTATGATGCTTATTTAACACAAACTTCAATTGAATATACTGTCTGTGGTTATAATGTTTGCTTTTAGAAGTAGCTATTGTTATGGGCTTAGTGTGTAGGGAGTGACGGTGTAGCGGGTGCTACTGATAATAGTGAATATAAGTAGTATATATTGAGAGGTCGGAAGAAGACATTGACAATTACGAGCGATGGATAGATATTCTGCTCAGAGAAACCCAAAAGATGACGTGACTGTATCAACAGCCAGACAAGATAAATGAAGGCGCAAGTTGATATTTCAATGGAAAGTCATAATATTTTATCAGTAATGTAAAAATCGTCATAATAAAACAATTCTTCTGCAATTCATCCTTCGCACTTTTCCTTCAATAGGTTTCTTCTGACAGTGCCAATTGACATTATATTGAGTGAATCGTTTATAGGCAATGATCAATTCTTTTGTTTGCTGATGGTTTGTTTGTTATGCATATCCTCAGAGACCTTTGTTATTTCTTTCCGCTTGAGTTCGAATGTATATTGTCTACATTTCTTTTGATCAAATCAAAATCCTCATCTAATAGATTTCTAAAGGTCATGTTTATCATTATGAAAAATTTGGCTGTAGAACTAGTACCATTGATGTGTGTATCGAAAATAAGTATGTAGTTAGATATTTATTGGTTTGAAGTATTTTAAGAGTTCTCGCCAGAAATTCCAGAGTGTAACCAGTTTTTGTTTATTACCTTCCTATGATAGCTAATTGAACGTCTTCCACTTTTTATTGAAGCTGAAGATTTCTCGTTGTTTTGTTTTCAGCACCATACTGACCACTTCATTTTGACGTATTCTAGTACAGATTTTTAGATATTCCCATTGAATATACCTTGATATTACTTAGTAGTGGTGATAATATTTATTTCGTCCTGTTTTCCGCTCTTCAACTGGGCTTACCTACATCCCAGTGTAGGTGTGTAGAGCCGTGACTCGTTGGTTTAGGAAGTTGACTTTCAACGGGCTCGAACCCCACTCTACCTATCAAGGTTTGGATAGCTAGATAGTATAATTAGCCCTAACATAGTAGGTGCGGCTCATAACCTACTGCACAGATATGTACGGAGTTACTGACTACACTTCTAAGTGTAGGTTTAATCCTCTTATTCATTGTTAAAAATGCGATGGGAGATATCCTTTAGGGTACTTTATTATAATAAACTCCGTTGATGCCATAAGTACAAATCATTACAGCTCGAAACTTGTTTGTACTATCAAACTGAATCGCTAAATGGTATCAAAAGGATCCTCAATTGTTGAAAAAAGTACCACTAGACTGCTTTCTAAAGATCTGTATGATACTTTCTGTGGGAAACGAGAAGACATGTTTATTATTAATATATGGTACAGTAGTCGTTAAATATAGTACACCTTGCACTAAGCCATCTGCAAAATGTGCTTCATTTCCTCTTCTGCTTCTCTCTTGACTTGCTCCTCATACACCAGGGTTGTCTCGTGCATTTCTCTGGGCAGAATCTTTACCCATTACTGGTAATTCCCTGATTTCTACCGCCCTTTCCACACATACTACTTATATCCATTCTTATCAGCAACGTCCACTACACTTACAACTACTGCTTGACTCTTAAATTTTCTTGTTTAGTTTATCACACGTATTAACAATATGTGTGTTGACAAAAAAGTTATTTCTGTTACACAATCCCATTGCAGCATTAATTTCAACGATTAGCTCAGTTTAACTATTAAATATAATGCGATAGTCAAAAACATAGAAAACATTTGAAGATAATAATGATAAAATGTTATAACTCCCAGTAATATCTGTATTACATTTGTAGGCAGATGAACTGTAGACCATCAGAACTGTTATGTCGGTATATGGATTCTTTACTGCGTAAATCTGTGAAAACAATGTCCAGTTCAGAGGTTGAAAATAAACTTACAGCTTCAATAGCTATTTTCAAGTATATTGATGATAAAGATCTTTTTCAAAAGGTTAGTATACATTGGTAACCCTTAACTGAATTTCGCACAGTTATGAAACTATGGAGAGTTTGTTGAAACAATGATTAGTTGAGTACAGGACAGTTTTGTTTCGACTTAACTTTCAATTCATCATCCATAGTATATACTACTGACTCCTCGTGTAATCTTGGTTGTGATGATATTCATATATTGGGTGCCAGACTGCCACTCAATTAGTAGACTGAAATCCATTTGTTAAGATTGAAGAGTTTTTATTTGTACCGAGTGGTGATTGAATGTGAAATGAAAATTTGGACAGCGGCGGGATTCGAACCAGCGACTACCGTATTTTCCGCCCGATGCTTTACCAACTGATCTACGAGGCCCAACTGCTGACCAGATTTTTTGATATTTCGCTTCGAGTGAAATCAATATGTGGTCAGCAGTCAGGCCTCGTGGCTCAGTTGGTAGAGCATCGGGCTGGAAACCCGGTAGTCGCTGGTTCGAGTCCCGCAGCGGTCCAATTCCATTTTACCTTCAATCATCACCCAGTATCAATACAAGTCTGCTAAACCACGACTATCTTAGATGGTCAGAATGGTAATTTTCATTCAGTTTGTGGCAGTGATTGCTAGTCTTTAATATTTGTTTAACTTAGCCCACAAATTAGTCTGCATTACCTTTCCCACAATGGCAAAACTAGATATTCTTATGAGGCTTCTGCTAGTTAAAAGAATGAATGAGTGTGAAGCAGATTTTATCGACTGAAATTGACATTTAAAATATGCTGTACGTAATAACAGCAAATCAAAAGACTTGTCACCAATGTCAATATCATTTGGTATAGAGAAGGGGAAACGTTTTGATGAATAAGCGGATATAAACGGCTTATGATCTCCAGTGCTACAGTGTAACATGGTTGTGGACATTTTAAAATTATGCCGCGAAGAATTTAAGAGTAATAACGGTAGTAGTTGAGTAACACAATACAAATGAATTCATAGGTACTTAGATATCGCTGCGTTTTTCGTCAAGCCTCAACCACCAAATTCGAGGTTATGTATGTGGTGATTTGAATCAACATTCATTGGTCATTAAGTGAGGTCCTGTCTTCGTTTGATCAATTTGAGATTTTTTTTAATCTTAATCGTCCTTTGGACTGTACAACACATTGAGGCACACATGGCTTCGGAATTCATTTAATGATTTATTTTACCTATACATCATCAACATTACGTGCGAGTAATGCGGAAAAGTCATTAATAATCAAATGCCTATACCATTCTCATGTTTTTTTTATACTCACTGATCAAATGAAACAACTTCATGACAGCAAAATATTAGACAATAAAATAAAATACCAGTAAAACGATTATATAGTTTCAATATATGCTAATCAATCTTCTTTCATCGGTAACTTAATCTCCTCTTGTTTCATGGTTAAGACAGAACTTCGTCTAAGTAAATGGCTTAGTTGACATGTAAGCCTATTGAATAAATGTATAGTAATTAGATGTGAAAATTCATGTCGAATGTTGACAGTTTTTCACGCATGGCAGTGTTAAATCTAAAATGGTAATTACTAAAATCCAACCAAAGTTACATGAAAAACTCTGTAATTTTAGAACAAAAATATGAAAGTTTGTTGTCCTGGCTGTTCTGTAAATAAGGTACATTACCAAAATTATGATAATTACAACTTTCAACTGTTATGCTTTTGTGGGGAAAAATCCCTTAATCAATTGTAAGGAAGAATCAACATGTACCAGCTCAATCATCTACAAAAAATGTTCAGTCGACATTAGCTCATTCCTCAAAATAAAAAAAAATCACCAAAAAACCGAGACTAGTTCATGCACAAAATCATAGTGATAAAGGCAACTAAGGAAGATACATTATATCTGTAATAAATTTGTGCATTGTGGATGGAATCAACTTATTACAAATATTCATTAATCAAGATGAAGATCACATGTGCAAAAGGGTAGATAGGCAAAAGTCAGTTGCCTCTAAAGACACACCCTAACAACTTTTGAAATAGCCAGTCAGATTTCAATATTTCGGCAAGGAAGTTAGTTTTTCCATTATATACAGAAATGTGATCGTTTACTTCGGTAGTTGCTGAAGTGGTCTTTACAATCATCTCAGAGTGAGTAAGGACCGTGAACTATGAGTATTTTTTAGTGACCATCCTGAAAACTGTTCAGAAACCAATTACGTCTCTCTATTTTATGATAAACTAACTTTCCAACCTAAACCTGATTGATTGTTTCATCAGTTGCTACTGTGGACTTTAAAGTCCAGGAATTGTCAATCAAATAAGTAGGTGTAAGTGAGTAGACCATTAGGTTGCTGAAAAATCTCAACCTGTTTGGGCGTTACGATTGACACAAAGATAGACAGATAAACCATATTCAATAGGTTCCAAGTTGGAGTCCACCTAAAATCTGACTACATTTTCTGTGTCACTTGAATTATTACTATGATTGAAGGTCAATGTCTGAAGGATTCATAGCAGAAAATGACAACCAGAGAGAAGTTGAATAAAAGTAGTACAAGTAAATCACACAGAGGAATGATATTTGTTATCGTCATTTCACCTGAAAACTCTGTGTTATTCTTTAAATGACTTTTTGATTTCAAGTGCAAAATTTGCGTTGATGAAATATAATTACTTTATTCTACTTCAACAAGTAGTTTCACAATTCATATTAGTTATATTCAGTACCATTTACAGACTATAAAACATATTTTCTCAAAAATATTAAAGTAATATAGTCAATAAACAAATCCTAGAAAATGAAATTTCTAATATTTCAGAGAATGTATCTTAATCGTTCCAAAAGTTAGTCAAACTATGCAAATATTCAAGAGTTAACGTTTAAAATAAAGTAGTATTTCTACTTTTATGGCCATTAAGCACATTGAAGAAGAGATTAATTCCATTAAAAAGATGAATCGTAAGATCATTGGTGTGCTTTTGACAAAAGTATATAAGCATTAAAAGAAGTAGCGGAATAACTGCACAAAGTTGCTACCCTTTTCATTCATACAGGGGGTACACGTTGTATCAGAGTTAAAAAATGTAGGCATGGAATCCTTTTCCTACAAAGTTAGTTATCCTGATGCTAGAATTCTCATTAAGAATAAGAACCTGTTGTGTATTGAGATAAATATAAACAACATAGAATCTGGCGCAACTGTATATCGTTTCCAAGTATCAAAATGGAAATTATCAAGACGAAAGTAATGAAATGAATAATATCACCATTCGTAGCAACATAGAAGGCATAAAAGAAAATAAAATCTACAAAGATGTAGGATAATAAGGCTCGTAAAGTTGAATTAACGTATCGATGCTTCTGTCACCATATTAAGCTATCATTTTTGGTTATCTCGCGTGTCGCAGAAAAGAAGATATCCTGTCACCTGGTTTAAAGTCAGGAAGTAAAAAGCAACGACGACTGTTATTTCACAAAAAATATCACACCAAAGTACAATGATACCAATTTGATCTTGTTATTCCCATATTTGACTGCTAACTGGCACATCCAACTTGCACCCACTTCTTATAAATTTAAAGATGTCTGACTTAAGAGTAGAAAATAAATTGGATATTTGAATTTAAGGGTTTTATTACAAATTGATTATCTTCACAATCTAAAGTCTGTTGTCTGTGGAAAGGTCTAGTGGATGTTTCCAAAAAAGTAGTAACTTTGGGTTTCCAGTCAATCAGGTTAAAAAATACACCGTAGAAAATGTGTTTAGAAGAAGTATTTGATATCTCACATTTATTGACTCACTAAGCACTGTTTTTCACTCTTAAGGTGAGGCAACATCTGTACACGTGTTCGAGTAGTATTTTCACTGTCCACCAGCTATGCATTTTTTTTATAGTAATGATAGGTAGTGGCTAACAGTGAAATCCAGGAAACATGTTACTTCCTATTTTGGACTCGTCAGTTGGATATACCTGCTGTCCACTGAGCGATGTTATTCCCTCTAGAGACCAATCAACGATGGGATAATGCAAACAACATCATGAAAATCATACCCGTCTCACAAGAAGTGGCTATCGTGACTATGTGGCCTAGTGGATAACGCTCTGGAGTTTGAAGCGGTCGATCCCGGGTTCGAGTCTTAGTTAGAACAACATAGCTCACTGAGAAGCAGGGGCATCCAGCCGACGAGTTCAAAAGAGGACGAAACGTACGTCCTTAACCTCACTGCTAGCCACTATCCATCATTAGTATCAAAACTGAGGCGACAGGCAATATTGAAGCATCCGCACAGGAGCCTATATGCCAACCAATTCAGTCCAATCAGCGACAGGATAATACAATCAACATCATATATATTTCTTTGCTTAGTTTGCAAGACCTATTGGACTTGGTGAGACATCTATTGAGTGTAGTGTTGTAGAAAATATTAGATTTGTAGAAAGGTATTTATAAGTATTATTATATTCGAATGGGAAAAATATATACCATAACTTTTGGTGTATGCTGTATTTAAATACCTCATTATCAAGTCACCTGATTGGCCTAATCATATGTACTTAGTGGATATTTTCTGATAAAATCAATGATTAACTAACTTTGTGTTATGCGACTATCATAATATTTATACTTCAGTATGCCTTAGATTGGTTGCATTTTTTCACTGGGTACCAATTAGGTATGAGAGTAAAAATCCAAGAATGCAATACCTCTTGTTTATATAATGGCAATCAATGATCTGAAATCACGAGTTTACAACAAATTTTCCCTTACATTTTTTTTTATTACCTCTTTCAGTATTATCAACGTCTGTTGTGTAAAAGACTAGTGTTTAATTATTCTTCAATGTTGGAACTTGAAGAGTCTGTGATTAATCAATTGAAAACTGTTTGTGGTTATGAGTTTACATCAAAATTTCAACGAATGTTCAGTGATGTTCAATTAAGTCCTGAGTTGAACCGAAAATTTACAGAATATTTACAATCAAAAGATATACATTTCACATTTGGTCATCACTTTCATGTTCTAACGGTAAATAAATTAAAATATTTTACTAAGGTTTGCATTTTTCTAGGTTATCTTTAAAATCTGTTGATTTTAATGAATATGAGGAACACTAAATACATTGTATGTTCAGTGTTTGGTTAGAAAGAATTTAAAGTTTCTAAAGTTAACCTGTAGGTTGATTGATTGTGCGCGGAGTTGGTGTTCAGCTAGTAAATATGATGAAATTTTTTATTTTGTATTAAGCGTGATTCAGCATAGTACACCCAAATCTAAGGGAGCATTATTTCGAAGGTACTGCGGATTTGTTCGTTAGTCGTGAACATTTGGCATATCTGCAACCGGTTTAGGCTAAATAATCTAGTTTGATACGAATGAATATTCATGTATGTATCTCCTTTCCGCCCGATCGGTAGAAGAACTAGTTTGCCTTTCAATACAGTCAGTTCCCTCTGCAAACTTCGACAGAACAATAACAAGACGTAATATACTTGAATCGTGTAATGCGTTTGGGTCATACATTTCGAAAAATCTAATCACACAAGTACTTGTCATGGGTATATGAAAAGTTACAAAGAGAGTAATAAGAGAGGTGAAGTAGAAAGGCTAAATTAAAGGTCAAAATACAACTTCAAGTCAATTAAGCAAAAATTAAGTTTTACTTGATAGATTGTCTGTACTTTTCGTCGGGATTCAAATTTCAGTCGATCGTTTTATGCAAAAAAAGAACACAATGTGCAAATTTATCAAGACTGACTCGATGGGCGGTCGCGATACAGGCGTGTCAACCATCCACAGCTGTGGACTCCGATTTCATATCTACATACCTTTTGATAATTGGACGATATTGACCCGTATTGAGTAAGCTGGAATCTATTCTGTTTTCCGATCTATCAATTATTTCTTCACATTCATTGACACACATGAGATATACGTGCAAAACATGTCACTTTCTTTATCATAATAAGAATCACTGGATATTTCCAGTTCTAATCAGACTCCATAATCACAGTGTCGGTGAAATAGACGTTTGTAAGTTCAGCTATACATGTACAAGACTCCAAGTCACTAATCACTCATTGAAATTCCACCCTACCAACTCAGAGCTAAGTAATTAAATGGTACTTTATTATTATTATTGCGCAAATTCAGCACAGCATCCTCACCAAAAAGTGCTCCAAACAACACTCTAAAGAGAGGTATAAAGAATAGAAGCATGATCGAAAAAGGGAAGCTATTACTTAAGATGCATTCGTTTAACACTTGCATTAAAGGTAGTCTTTAGCGAGTACAGTAAAGTGATGAATTGCTTTCTTATCATCACCAATTCATTTTTTTGGCTTTCTCATCTTTCTGTAGCAATGTTCGTGGCCAATCACACTTAGCGGAGCTACTGATTTTCTCCTCCCACTTGAATTATATACCTGTACTTATCACTTTGAAGAATTTTACGCTGCTGCTCATCAAGGAAGAAAAATGAGATGGGCGCATAGTTATTCGACAGCAGAAATTCAAGTACTTTTCACTGATAAAGCTTATCAAATTCAAGCTCCAGCAATTCACGCTGCTATTTTACTCTTTTTTGATCATATCGACTCAGATCGTGTGACAGTCAAAGACCTACATTTCGGGTTACAGCTAACAACATCTGAAGGTCGGTCTATTTGCAGTGAAAATAATCCTGCATGCAACCGAAGTGCTCCTACTACTGAGTCCAGAGTTACCAGTAAGATGCAGACCTGTTCTCAAGATTTGGTCGACTCTTCATGCGAACTAGATTTAATTCAAAGACTTTTAGCACCATTGCTTGAGCTAAACATAATTTTTATTGAATCAGATGGAGGGCAAAGTAATCCTTCTTTGAATAATACTGTAACAGTAAGTAAACGGTTTTAAATAGCGATTGATTATTACATATTGTTTTTAGATGGAAAGTACTATCGCCTTAAACCGTTTCTTCACAAACAAACGTTTGAAACTAAGAGTGAATTTCGGCTCACAAGGAAAAGAGTCGAATCAGGTTAGTTATTCATGCATACTGTTCTGCATAATTTGAATGTAAATCTTTTGACAAAGATAGCGCTCGTCACAAGCTTTACACGAAAGCAACAGATAGATTCTATCCAGTCGATATAAAAAGGCCTAGCGAAATCTCTGATTGCTGGTCTTTCAAATAACCCGCCCTTATGTAGGCTATATCAGCACTTCAAAATCTAATCAACTTATGGTGCACAGATTCTGTTAAAACACCCATCCCAACTATCAATACCATTGCTGTTGGCATAGCGTTTTTATAATACGGTGCTTCATCCCTAATACCTACTTTAGACAAAGAGTGATTGCATAAATTATATCTCAAGTTGAAAAATGCCTATTTATGTTAACAGAAACATAAAAAGCCACAGCTACTGCTCAGTTTCGTCATTTACATAGCAATTGTCTCCTTAATCCGCACTGCACAAAGACAAGAGAACTTGGCACAGATTTTTGATCTCATCATAATATATTGATAATTTATGTTGAACTTTTGAAATCTTATTTTATTAAGATGGCTTGAAGTGATAGCAGTTCTGCGCAAACTCAAGATATTATTAGACTATGTTGGGTCCCAACTTATTTTAATTTACGAGCTAACAGAAACTAGAATTTTGCAAGGCTATTTGAAGCATCGAAAGTGCAAAAGACTAAACTGTACGCCCTGAAGGTAGTAAAAGTGGAGCAGCCACTGGAGTAACTTCACATCTTAGCAATAGTGAAGGTGTGTTAAAAGAATGTTAGATGCGTATAACCCTTTGTTCGTTATTTTCGACAATTGATCAGATACCGTCAAAGAAGATTAACGCATGGAATTTTTGTAGGCCTTCATAATCTATTTTTCAGGTATCTTGAATAGTAACTCTGTCTGATAAACACAGATCAAATCACATGAAGCATCTTGCACAAGGCTATAGTGTGGGTGTCCCTTTCTTATTCTTATCAGCACATCTTTTTCGCCAAGAAATCGTTTTCTCATTTAGAAGGTTTGTAATGTAAAAGTGTGACAATGCTGAGAACACTATCATTTTAAGGTTGTAACTTAGAGGTAGTCACTTTTATCTCGATATAGGTCGTTGTAATGTAGGTGCTATTTTTTACCAGCATCTTAAGTGTCCATCCCGTACTTATTTACTTTGTGTCCTGTGATTTCCCAAAACATCACGATTCATACCTATTTACCATTGAGTTATGTTGTATTTCGCTGTCTGTCGGTTAGGTTAATTCATCTTCCCTTGAATAACTTATACTGTATAAAAGAAATATTTGAACTTTAGATTAGTCTATCAGAAGATCAAAAATGGAATTCGAGTTACTAACTTATTCAGAAGTAGTCAAGTTACTTTAACCACCTAAAATATAGTGTAATTCGAATATTTAGTAGCTAAGCATCCACACTTATTTTGTTTATTTTCAGTCCGAAGCTGATCAAGTCGATCGTCAAGTGAACGAAGATCGACGTTACTTCATACAAGCAGCCATTGTACGTATTCTTAAAGCCAGGAGACAAATAAAGCATAGCGCTCTCATTGAAACTATTTTACAACAGGCAAGCAACCGTTTCCAACCTCCGATACCCCTGATCAAGCGTTGTATTGAAGGCCTAATAGATACCGGCTATCTAGAAAGAAACCCAGATGATCCCGATCAATACAGTTATCTTGCATAATTTTAAATCTTTTATTTTATGAATTAGGTGAATACATTAAGAGTAACAAAACAGTTTAGTCACGTATACAACTGATGATATACTAAGTCTTAAATTGCTCCTGTTTTACCCAGTTGTTCCTTTAGTATCATGATACTGCGTCGTTGATCTTCGGGTAGAAGAGTGAGTTGCTCGTCAGACAGTTGAAGGACTTGCATGATAAGTGTGACCTTCTCCTGTTCGCCTTGTCCTGCCAAAAGGCTGTTAGGTCCCATACTGGCAGCTGCTGCAGCAGCGATTGCAGGTGTAATTTGCTAACGAGGGGATAGCGAAAAAATTTTAATTTTGTAATTAAAACTCATGTTGTACTATTATAAATATAAGGCAAACATACATAAAGTGGGAATTTCACGGCAATAAAAATCTGTTGTAAAATCCTCCGTCAGTTGTCGACCGTACAGGATACATAACGTTTCAAAAGTCGCACTCACAATGCCAACATAGTTTCTAGAAGTTTATCCATATACACTATGACTGTTAGCTGCTAGGTTCTTCAAACAAACGAAGAACTTCCATGGAGAACTTAACTCTATGGATATTAAGTTTTGGAGAAATATGTCGAGGGTTTTCATGTGTCCTTTTGCAGAAATTCGACAGCTAACATGCTGAAAGGTGAGGAAATTAACAGAATATATACTGGTTATTCTGTTGAACACCTCTGCGACATGAACTGTGTTCGAAACATCATCGTTAGTAAGTGAGACTGCTTCACTATGTGGAACAACAAGGGAGTTAAGATAACAGCCAAGTAAGCACACTTGGAAACGATTACTCAAGTAGAGTGAGAAGGATTTCTGAGTGCAGTAATACAAGTGAAAATAATCCCTATATTTAGTTAAAACAGAACTAGTGGTTCAGACGTGACCTCCAGCTAACGTATCGCTCGTTTTAACTAGAAGGAATCTGACCTGCACATAGTTGATGCTTTTCATGAATACTTTTGTATGACACAATTTCCTTTTGTCTGCAAACATAGGACAATTCGGTAGTGCAGTCCATTGACATAAATAAGTCAAAAAATATTTCTCACCTGAGGAGGAGGTGGTCTGGCAGGTCGAACAGGCATATTTTGCGGTCCATTAGGATTAAAATGTGATGACTGTCCTGATATGACAGGTGGTTGTGGTGGACCAGGAGGATAGTCAAATGGTGGCTGGGACGGTGGTGCAGCAGAATTCGAAGGATATCCATTAGGTGGCATATTATTTGGATAAAACTTTTGCGGCACTAAATGTACAACAAATATATTACTGAGATACAAATAACAGTATTTGACAACAAAATAGTTTGTCCTAAGAAACAGGACTATAATTATTTTGATTTTTATAATATACTCTATGGCACAGTCTATAAAGATACAATAACATACCTGAACACAATATTTTTCCTTTATCTTATCGTTAAAAACCTATCTATAATTCGTAGCTTCAAGTTGTACCGAAGATTCTCTATTGTTTGAGTAAATCATTCAACCTTGTGCTTTTCCTAGCAGACGAAATCTGGTTACTACTTACACAGTCGCAGTTAAGAAAACTTAATATCTTGCTAAAAAGTGTAATATCATGGGGAAGAAAATCACATGACGACTAGGCTGCGTTTTTGATTAGAGCACACAGTCAATGTTGTTGACTATTGATTGAGTTGTATGCGAGCAATTTGCTTTTCGCTGTCATGTAAAAAGGGTAAGAACTCACTACGTAGCAAAGGTTTTATTACTGTTGCTCTATCCTACCCTATTGTGTGCATAGCTAAGCTCTTCTCTAAATTCCTTATCCTATTAGGATCTACTAATCTTGATTTCGCTAAGTTTTTGTGCTGTTATTTTAATTGAGGGGGGGGGGAACTGATAACCGAATCTTTGTTTATATATATATATATATATATATATATATATATATATATATATATATATATATATATATATAATGTGAATGTGAGCAATAAATTATGTCCGAAACGTTATCATTCAGTAAATAATACTGTTTCACTGTGTGTCAATTCTAATAAACAGACTAAAATGGAATTACAATCACAGTGCCCAAGTTTTACTCATAAAGTATTTTGTAATCTTTTCTAGTATAAAATGAAAGTGTGACCCATTGACACTGTAATTGGAACTTACTGTTGACAGACGCTTTAGATTCAAAACCCGCACTTACATTAATGGAAAAGTTAGTGTTCAAAATATTCAAGTACAAGGAAAGAATAATGTAGAAAAGCTTACTTCCTTGAGGCGCCTGACCTCGGGGCGGATGTTGATCAATACCAAAATGGTTTGGATGGGATACAGGTCCTGGTCCACCGTGATGCGGAAAACTAGGTGGTAAATGAGCCCCAGTTGATGACAAAGGTACCATATGACTTCCGGGAGGATTAGGGCCCACAGAAGGTGGTGTTTGATTGATGTGCCCAGGAAAGCCCATGGGCGGTACCTGAGGGACCACATCTTCATCTGGCATAGCAGGAGGAATCTGGTCATGACTACGGTTTAACATTGCGATGGCTACCTTAGGATCAACTATCTTCATTACGATTTGGGCCTGTAAGAGGGATTAAAGTATCATTTGCATGTGAACAGGTTAATACTGTCAAAATGGAAACTGTAATAGAAGTGTAATATATCCCAGAAGAAAACCATCAATGACCCCGCTTTATTTTACGTCGAATAAATGGGAACGTAATTATTCCAGTCCACTTAAGTCGAAATCAACAAGCTACGTGGCATTACTATGTGAAGTTCCCGGTTGGCAAGCCATATAAAGGAAGAAATCAAGATAAGAACAAAAAGAAATAAAGAAGATAGGAGTCATAGTGGTATAAAGTCCTGAAAAAACAGCAATAATGAAAGTCGGTAAGAAAACAAGGATGAAAATAAGGTGTGGATGCATTAGCGCTATTGACCGACCGTGAGTCATATCACCTGAAGATGAAGACTTCGACCACATACTTCAGTTGTCGTGCGAACCCTACCCGGGAAGTTTGCACTTCCCCACATGACTTAAACCAAGATTCAGAGGCTTCACGGAATCTCGTTGCCTGTAACCCTACTCTAGCTTAAACCTACTTCATCTAGCATTTCGCGAAACCTTAGACGGTAACTAGGAATACATGCGTAACACACGTCTTAGCCATCTGAGTCGATGAAGGTTTGCAGCCTCTCCTATCTAAAGCAGTACAACTGACCTTGATATTACTGACGTGAAGACACTACGACAAATGGCTTATGCTGTGAGGGCAACGGCAGTTGAACACGCGAAGCCTTCTCATGTTTTCTGTCTTAAGTGGCCATACTCTACAGTCTGTAGTAGAATATAGCGAACTCCAATACAGTATACTGAACCCTCAACAGGTAACTGGATATCATGCCGACACCGTGTAGGGCGTAGGTTGGCGAAGGCCAAGTGAATGTTTCGTATCCTTATGCAGATTATGTTGATCACTTACCCGCGAGTGCTGATCCGACTGCTCAAGTAAGTGGAGTGGTTAAAACACTCAACTTCTTAACGCTAGACGAGGTAACAACACAGACCAATTTTGGAATAATGATTTCCATTTGGTTGGTGTGAAATGCATGCCAGACATTTTCGAATTCCCAGTTGTGTCTAGAAAACGCTTCATCTTGTTGGCATCTTCCCTCAAAAGGACTGTCATCTGCGTCCTTTCAGTCCGTTAAGGCATCTACTGTGACAATGTTAATCCTAACGAAGTCAGATAAGACGAAAACACTTGTAAAAAACACTAAACAAGAATGGAGAGGATGGACACCACTTATTGTACACTGCTCACTTGAGAACAGCTTTTAATTCCTTTGTTATTATGGTAGAAACCTTTTTCAAGTATGTGGTGCATCATTCCTGTTGTACGTGTTAGGTGTTGATTCAATGAATGAAGATTCTGTAATCGATCTCTTGCTACCTAACCATTTTGCATTTTAGAACTATCACCCTATCCCACTATATAGGGTGACTATGAGTCAGTGCATGCAGAACGATTGTCGAGTTTTTCTCAAATTTACTGGTCTTACTAAAGTTCATCATTCTACATTTCACCAAATTTCTGCTATGCCGACTGACCGAGATCTGCTACATTGACCTATTTACTGAACCCCACAAGCATTACACGGTATTTGAAAGTTTCGATTCTTTTAGTGATATGTCACTTCCGAAGGATTCTTCTTTCCAGAACACGGGGATTTCGGTTACTAAATCACAACAATAAGCATTAGCGTCCATTAGAAATCAAACCCAGCATAAAACTAAACTTTCACAACCAGCGATAGTTTCCTTCTTGATGAAAGATGATTTGAACATACAAAGCAGTGTTAAGGATCAAAGCATAAATGTAAAAAAGTCCAATATCTTCCATATTTAGTTTCAAAGTCAGTAGAATCGCCTAATATGTTAACTACTAAATTTACTTAGGCTCTTGTACTCTTATCAACAAATAAAACTTCAATTATAATATCAGTGGGGTTGTTTAGGTGAATAAATACGAACTTTCTGTATTCGACTGTTGCCAATTTCAAAGCCTTGACTATATATGAGATATCAATTAGCAAAGTGTTTAGAATGTAGCAGCTACGACTGATACGTCAATTCATGGTCAACTGACATGGTATCTTGTCCGACAAATCCGTTCCCTCTTATTGAAAAATGGCATAATATATACTAAGTATTGAAGTGGTAATTAGCGTCCGAGGGTGACATGGAGGAGATCGTGCGAGGAAGAAATGAGAGCTTATGGGCTGTCGTGGAGCCAGGTTCAAAAGATTTCAGAGAACAGAGTACACTTGAGACGTGCTACTGAAGCCCTATGTTCCATTAGGAACCCAAGGGACAAATAAAATATAGATAAATAATTAGCGTTTGTCAATATTTCAGTCAACCTAATCAGTAATTCTGAAAGGAATAGATTAAAAATAACTACTCTTCCTCATCAATCTTTCCTGGCAAAAGTAACTCTACAAACTAGAAAGATGAAGAACCACGTAGAGTGTTAACCACTGTATATTGCGGTATACTTTCCTTAATAATCTAAGACGACTGTGAGTTGTCATTTTCCCCAGGGAACTGAATCACTGAGAGCTATTCATCTGCGTTTTGGTAGCATCTCATTATGCTCGAAGCTAGCCAGAACAGGTCAATTAGCATCGATCGTTCCTGATGAAGGTAAGGACATTTACTAACTCTGTAACCTTTGATTACTAGCTAATATCTACTGTCTCACCTATAAAGGTTCGACCAACTATAACGGATGTGGTTAATAGATTTGTAAAAAAGTATACGTATGGTTGTTGGGTTTCAGTGTATCACTTTATCAAGGTTTTTTCAGTTATTCATATTATATTGTTCCAGATTGCGATAAGATGATTGAAAATGTTGTGGCCCATTGGAAACACATCAAAAACGTGAAGACGTGAATTAGAAGAAACCAAAATGAACGAAAGACAGTTGATTGTGGTAAAGAAAGACAGGAGGAAATCAAGCATTATAAGTAGGAGAAGGTTATAGCATAATCAGTCGATAATGCTAGCATACCAATTGCCAGGCAAAGAACAATGGATGGCTTTCTATCTAGCCCTTCCTAGTCCCAGTTAGTGGAGAAAATGTGTGCTAGGTGGAGTATTTCGCTAACTCAATCACCATAATTCATAACTAGATTACAGCTTTTGTACTTACTTTTGCGTAATCCATAGGATCGGAACTGATAAGTAACATATCTAGGCAGATAACAGTCGTTAGAAGATCAACACATACAAAGGGTACAACTGAATTAAAGACTGATGAAGATCACTATGGAGCATTTTGGTACGGAAACACAATCCAAACTTGTGAAAAAAACGAAAATCTCAACTAACAGTTAACTACAAAGCAAATGCATCTTTGTTCATCTATCTCTTCAATATTCAGCATAAGACTAAACGTGGATTTATCTGCAGCGCTACAACTAATTTTAAACAAAATATCAGAATAACGAGACATAAATGTTTTCCGAGCTAGAATTAATGGAGACAACGATTTAATTACATTCTAAGCAATCCAGTGGGTAAATTTCGAAAAACAGTCGACCACACAAACTATTTTACTCATGTCACGAGCTAGATGTGGTATAAATTGGAGTTAATTCTCAGTTAGATCACTTTAAGAACTTTTCTGACCGACAGCTGCTAGCCTGGTACTTCCCTATACACGAGCCTGAAATTCCCACCTGACCGTATGGAGATTTTTCAGTCGCAAGCTTTGACCATTCATTCTCACAGATTCGGATTTTAAGAAACATATAAGAATAAAAAGGAAGTCGTCACTGAATATATGAAACTGTGAGTGATTAGTTTAGGTACTGGACGTTCGATCTCATTTCATCAACCAAGATTTCCATTATCATGCAGTATCGATGGCTATTACACCGTGTTACCTGCAACCTACAACACAAACTTGTAACCTACCTAGTTCACTAGCCGGTCCCAATCCCAGATGAAGAGGGAAGGTCGGGCATAGGGCTAGCAACCCTACCCCGGAAAACCAATCCAACCGCTAAAGAAACTTCAGAGCACAAAGAAAATATAAAAAGTAAAAATAGACTTATTCCTCGCTGGAATCGGAGAGGCGAAATGATGTCAGTTGGTGAAAGCCTTCGGGAAGCCAATTGGCCGATGTATCTTCTCTCGCTTGATGAAAGCGGAAGTAAGCTTGCGGATATGGAATGTCCACACCATGTTTGAGCCTAGCAAGGCTGCGCCGGTTGCAAAAGAGATGAGAAGGTATTGCATGGAAGTGCTAGGAATCTGCAAAAGCAGACAGAATGGAAATGGACTCTTCAAACTGTCAACTGGAGCGTCAATAATCTACTCCGATATTGTCACCCAGACGGCAACCACAAGCACACTGAGTTTTGGAGTGGCTATCGTGATGTCTCCAAGAGCATCAAAGGCTCTCAGGCAACGGGGACCAACCTCCTTCAGGATCATGATAGCAAGATTCAACTGAAAAGGAAGAGAAGTCACAATCATACAATGCTAGGCTACGCACCTACAGATACTGAAGATCAAGAGAAGAAAGGGGAACTCGATGGAAAACTGCAATCAGCACTGGGCAAGACCGCAACCCAGTTGGCTACGTCGAAGTTCTAATGGGAGGGGTGATATGAATGCCAAACTGCGAGGAGAGGACAACACAGGAAGAGAAGCAATCATGGGTCGAGAAGCGCTCGGTGAGGTGATGAACGAGAATGGAGAATTGTTTGCAGATTTCTTTGCATTCAACGATTTGGTGATTGGAGGCCAGGCAGTGTGTTCAAGCACAAGGATATCCACAAACCGACATGGATTTCACCAGACACCAGGACACACTAAAAATCAGATCGACTTCATCTCAATGTGAAGAAAGTGGAGACACAGCCCACTGGACACAAGATCAGATCAAGAAGAGGAGCAGATGTAGGTGGTTCACATCGCTCAACATCTAGTGCAAAGAACCTGCCTTCCAAATCGAGTTGAGTGCCTTCAATCCAAGGAAGTTGGTGACAGACCACAGTTCAAGTTCAACGCTCAGAAGAGAAACTGAACTGAAGGATGAAACTACAAAGGACATCTTCACGTCAGCAGTGAGGACGAACTGGGAGATATTGAGCATCATCTCTGAAGAAATCTGCGTGTAAGATCACTGGAACTCCTTGAAAGAGACGTGGAAGGAAACCTGCATGATCGTGTTAGGAAGGAAGAAGAGGCAAGACAAGGAATGGATCTCGACGGCCACGGAAGCTGATAGAGGAGAGGAAGACGATGAAGCGGAAGATGAACCAGTGGAGTGCAGGGATGAACAACGAAAAGAGGAACGGAACACAGCCTATATAACGCTACACTGGATAAAGAAGTGAGGAAGGGTACGTATGAAGACAAAAGACACTTCTACGACACATTGGCAAGTAGAGTAGAACAGGCTGCTGGTAGGAGAGACCTGACAACACCATATCAAATAACCAAGTTGCTATCTGGGAAGAGACCCACGCAGACGAAACCAGTGCAGGGAAGGAAATGTGTCTGCGCAGTGGAAGAAAGGCTTCAAGCCTTTATAAACCTTATTCAATAGCCATATAACGACGCTATACGCCAAGTAGGAGTAGGATGAGGTTGCCGCCTACTATCACCGATCATCTTCATTGTGACTGACTGGAATAGATCATGCAACAGACAAACGTGAGGAGGGAGAAGAGGGTTATACGCTGTTTGACCGATGAAAAGACCCTAGAAGATTCGGATTTCGCCGTTCAGGATTTATGTTTAATGTCTCGTCACACAAACTCGAAGATCTACAGGCAGAAATCAACAAGTTGACAGACAAGGCAGCGAAGACGGGACTTCAAGTGAACGTAGAGAGAGGTGATGAAGATACCTGACTAACAATAACATCGACAACAAGCATCAATCACCATCAATGGGAGAAACCTAAAGGAAGTTGTCTCTTTCACCTACTTGCCTAAGCAGCATCGTTTCAACTATAGGCGACACAGGCACAGAAGAGAACGTAAAAGTCCTTCATTAATCTGAAACTAGTGTGTGGTTCTACTGCACTCAGCATAAAGCGTGAACAAGATCCGGATTTTCAGCACAAACGTCAAGTCAGTGCTTCTATATAGTTCAGAAACTTGGCACGTTACGAAAAGCATTTCGAACAAACTACAGATATACATCATCAACAGCTGCCGCCTACGCTGGCTCGATACTGAAGATCAGGTGTCCAGAATAATAAGAATAAGCAACAAGGAACTCTGGCTGGTAACGAACCAACCAAGAAGCTATCGCTCAACAAATATGCAGAAGGAAGTGGAGATGGATTGGACATACACTGAGAAGGCCGACTGGGGACATCACGCATTAGGCCAGGCCCTCGATTGGAACCCAGATGGGAAACGACGAGTTGGGCATCGAGGCGAGAGTGACATGGGGGAGATCATATGAGGAAGAAATTGAAGCTTATGGGCAGTCGTGGAGCCAGGTAGAAAAGACTGCAGAGAACAGAGTGCGATGGAGACGTGTTACTGAAGCCCTATGTTTTACTAGGAACCCAAGCGACAAAATAATAATAATAATAATTGTAAGAATAATGTGATTACTTTTTTCTACTATGTCCATAATATTAGTGCCGATCACAAACAAGTAACCATCAGACTTCGGGTCAAACAAACAATTAAAAGGAACAGTCCAAGGTTGACACTCGAAGCATCGTCTGCGTCCATTCTTTTTCAACTCAATATCCATATTGAAGTCAGTCACTACAATGGCTATATGTGTTCGCAGAAGTCAAGATAGTTTTCGATATATCCTACAAGCTGTTCGAGTTTTAATTCAGGGGATGTATATTCGGTCTAAAAACAAGTATTTGTATAACGCATGTCAAATATGATTCTGTTCAGTAGTGTATTGCGTGCTGCTCGATTTAATGTTGTACTTATACCTTTAAGTTTACGATCATCGGTTGCTAAAGAAACGAATACACTTAGCTCATACGAGTTAGGTTAATTAAATAATCACACTTAAATACCCTAACTCTAAGGAACATAACTTGCAGTGATGACACGATGATACGCTACTTCATTATGATGGAGAGTCCAGAAGTTGAGTGCTCCAACATGCCACTTTAGATGGTGGTTTAAAGCTACGAAGTCCGTGATTTTGTAGACTCAAACAGTGGATATCATTTGTAGATGAGAATGATAAAAAAGATAATCATATTCTTCCATGAGGAATCAGAGAACAACAGCAATGATAAGCATCAGCAGGAAGGCCACTGGGCTAAAGGTGAAAGTCCTACTTATACGTTTTCAGAAGGCGCTAACATCTTGAACACGACAACAACTAGTCACCCTCATCATATAGAACATGTATGACGTAAAATTAATATAAGCAACCCTGGCAGCTTTATTTTTCAGCACTCCTACTATCATGAACAAACAAAATAATCCAGTAGTAAATAATACCTGAAGTAAAGCATACGCCAGTTGAGGATTTTGGAGAAGCATATTTCGTGCTTCATTAGGGTTGTTTTGTATGCATAGTTTCATCTGCTTCATCAGTTCATACATTTGCTCAGGTGGTAAACTAGCAACTGCTCGACTAATGGCTTCTGGTGCTGCTTGTGGATCAATATTATCACCATATGGGCTCTCAAGTGGTGGTCCGACGGAGGGATTGCTCAAAGCTAATTCAGCGGAATTTTGTTCTCCAGCAGCTGGTCCAATACGCAACGGACGACCATTAAATTCAATATTTTGAAGGTTTCTCAGAGCACTTGCAGCAATAGCTGCATTATTGTACTCACAAAATCCATAACCTTTGGGTTTCCCGGATTCTCTGTCATACACCAGACGGAAACCAATTACGGGGCCAGCCTACAACAGCAAAACGTTTGTTAAAGTAAACTAATTACCTTGCCAAAGAGTTCGATAAGCTTTTCTTCCGTTGCTTCGTATGGTATGTTACCCACAAAGATAGATCGTGCAGTTTTCTCTGCAGCTTCCTTTGTTAAAACAGGTGTTGACATTGTAGTCATCAGATTTTTGGAAACGCTATCAACTGACCCGGATTAAAACCTAAAAAGACAAGTAGACTGTTTCACAAACACAAAACACAAACAAAAATAACAGAATCGCTTCAAGTATACAAGAAAACCAAAGGCTGGATGGAATGCAATCTGTATAGCTTAGTGATTGATTTGAAGGTAGTCCATTGATGAAAAATAATGAAAGAAATGGTACAAATCGGAGAATTTGGAATGAAATAAACTTATAGTTAAAATTAAATTTATTCAGTATCTATGTAGTCGGATTGTCATTCTGGTTCATTTGGCAACTCGAAAAATAGAACAGGAAGGACTACGTAGGTGTACGTGGTGAGTTGATAATGCAAACACAAGGTTAGAATTTGAAGCGGATTAAGGTTAAGTGGATTTGCCCCGAGCAATAAAATTGAAGAGATTAAATAGGAATTGACCGCGAAATGAATAGTGAAATGGGAGTCAAAGTACGAAAATTGGTAGGGTCTTTACATTAAAACACAAATACGGTCAGCTAAAAACTTGAGGATTAGGCTTATAATTGATGGATCGACAAGTAAAGTTTGAGAAACCCAAAATACCATTTAGATCTATTTCATGCGTGACCAAGTACTTTTGGCAAATAATTCAGGTCCATTTCGTAGATGCTAGCAATGGAAACTGTGTAAGACACATTTCAGTTGTCATATATCAGACGACGTGATGATCGGGCTTGCATACCACAACGGTCCAACGAGCTATGCTAGTGTGAACTTTCGTTCCTTCAGCTCCAAACATACCAGAAGACCTGTTGAATAGTAGAGACAAAAAGTGATAACGACTATAGAGTAAATATCTATGTTATGATGGAGGTTCGAAGTTAACTGTTGGCTGAACCAGAGTATGACAGCAGCTAGGCTTTCCACACGAACGACTAGCAGTCCATACTGATGCAGTATTTCACATGGGAAGCTAAGTTGAGGTAGAACAGTCTCCTCATATTGTAGTATTCCGGTATCGGTTTCCTAGTTGGATGTAAATCAGTTAAAGCTGAACCTTAAGTTTCTGGAAAGGTCGTGGGTGACCGATTTCGAGCAAATGTCCGGTGGCCTCTGAGATCAGGACTGATCCCATTTCCTAAGTAGGTAACTGAAGAAGCAGTAACCCTGCATGATGTAGTAGTAATCGGGAGTCAACCATGTTTACAAGTCCGTCCATGCTCAACCACTCTCAGATCATTACCAAACTTCCACATATTCATCTTCTTGCTTTCCTCACATCTCGATCATCATTCCTACGTAGTCTTTAGTACTTAACAGCCCTGTAGTCCTTGATAACGATTCAAGTTCACAGAAAAGAAACCTCAGTCTTCTAAAACTGGGCTACAAACTACACAATGAAGCTTCTAATGTCCGCACCCTTCGCTAAATCGGACAACTAAACTCACTAGCCAAAATTCTGGTGTCTCAGGTCACAGATGTGTTTGTGAGACACGCACACAAGGCCTATGTATAGTCGCCCACTTAATTTCATACGAACTATATGATGAATCAGTAAAAATCACCCTTCGAGTTTCTGGCTGGTTTTCGTAGTCTCGCAGGCGTAGGAATTTCATTGAATGACAGGGTAGAAGGTGCACTGCTGGGCCGCATCTAAGTGTACTGTTCAACTGAATGATGCAGTGAAGAATGAAGAAGGAATGAAACTAAACTTTATTTCTTTGTAATCTCCGCTTACGCACCCCCTGACTGAGATTCGGATGAAAGGAAGGATGAGTTCTACTGAAAACTATCTGGCCTCCTACTGAAAGTCAAACGTTTAGATGATGTCGTTGCAGCCGATTTCAATGCACATGTGAGTAAGGTAAGTCAGGCAGAAAGGCACTTTCTGTATCCCAGCCGAATGAAAAGATAACGATCACCACCTACTCCAACTTCTTAGACAGTTTCCCATTTTCAGCCAGTATGAACCTCAGGCATGAACAAAAACATTGTCTAGCATGCTATTCACTTAGCTCAAATAAACGGTCAACACAGACTGATCATAATGCTATAAGTAGTCGCCGGAGGGTCGGTGAAAGACTTCAGCTGCTTGGGGGTGTTATGATCTGCAAACTGCTATGGCCGCTAACTATGCACGGATATAGACTGTCAGCTACCAATATTTAGCAATTTCCTAGTTGATTCCCAACTCAACTAATTAATGGAGAAGACATAATGGACGTATAGAAACGTGTATTGGGGTCGATAGACCGAAGACAAGAACATAGGAAAATATATCTAAAATATAGATAGTTCGCCGTTTAAAATAAAACTGTAGGTTTCCTGATCAATCGCCTGTTTGTCTAACTGTAGATGTAATAACACAAAACACATTTTAATTGGTTTCTCGCCAGACTAATATCTTTTCTCTTTATCCCCATAGCGTGTCAAGTATTCAAACAGTTTTCGTGCATTGATTTGAGCACATATACGTCTGCACCTTTCTGAACGCAGAAAAACTATGGAAAAAAGACCACTTCGAGCAAAGCTTAGCAATAGTGGAGCTGTTACTGAGTGGTTTAGAGAGGTGACGGTCAACCACTGGGTCACGGGTCAAAGTCCCGCTCTACCTACCGAGGTGTGGATAGCCAGGTAGTATTACTAGCTCTCATACAATTGATGTGGCTCACTGTCTACTGCGTTGGTGTGCACAAGGTAGTTGAGTGTGTTTCCTTTCCTTACAGTTTAGCAATGAGAATACTAAGGCTGTCTTCAATGAGGATCTGACAAGTTACCTCAAAAGCACAGCGTCATTCATTTTGAAGAGACCTATCATCTTCAGTCTGCTGTAAAAACAATTAAGAAAAAGATCAGGAAGTATCATTGACTCTTGCCAGTTCTCTCTGAATTCATGAGTGAACATGAACATATTCCTGCGTGCTTCAACCACAATGGAGACCTAAAGTGAATCCAATCGAAACTGACAGTCCATGAAAAGACTGAGAGCAGTAGTAGCCAGCGAAGGCTGAAGAGATGGAAGACGCAGCAGTGATTTGTAACAGTAGACAGCTACTTAGGCTGGTCAAGGGAACCGGGACGAAAACGTCAATGGTTGGTAGGACTATAGTCGAGGAGGATCGGTCTGTGATTCGGCTACAACTGAAACGACTAAGAGAATGAGTAGAAAATTTGAAGGAACGGTTCAAGTGACCTCCAACTAGTCTTTGGTTGCCCGTTATCCATTCGGATAATAACGATAACAAGCCAAGTGGTTGAGTGTGTTGACCATTCTACTTAATTGGAAAGTAAGATCAGCCGTCGTGAGTTAGTGACTAACAAAATCTCTGCAAGGATACAAAACGTTTGCTTGGCCTTCGCCAACTTACACCAAAACATGGCTCCGGGATAGTATCTGATAACCTAATGAGGCTTCAGTGTACTGCACCACAGTTCTCTCTGTTCCTACTACAGACTGTGAAATACGGTCGTTAGAGATGAAAAGCATGAAAAGGCATCAGGTGTTCGACTACTGTTACCTTCGTAGCATAGACCTAAGAATATGCAATTTCAATCCAACGATAAATTATACCATCAAACAGGTGGAGTAGCAATGGGTAGCTTTAAGGGAATAAATTTATCGTGAACTTAGGAAGAACTAAATTAGACTCATCTATTAATGAAAGCTCAGCATATAACAGGTATACGGATGGCATCTTTGATTTACATGATATAGATCGTGAGACAAAATTGCTAGAAATGTTTGATAAGTTTATCGCAAAACATGAAACCAACAGTGAATTTCCTTTTTTGACCTGAGACCGACGAAGAAGAAATTAATGTAGGAGTCGTGTTTATAGAAAAGAAATCTCAATTCTAATATTTCTTGCACCGTGAGTTAAGTGCTAGGACTAATCAAAAGACTGTTTCATGGGACAGTGTGGAGATCTTCACTCAGCATAAAGCGTGAACAAGATCCGGATTTTCAGCACAAACGTCAAGTCAGTGCTTCTATATAGTTCAGAAACTTGGCACGTTACGAAAAGCATTTCGAACAAACTACAGATATACATCATCAACAGCTGCCGCCTACGCTGGCTCGATACTGAAGATCAGGTGTCCAGAATAATAAGAATAAGCAACAAGGAACTCTGGCTGGTAACGAACCAACCAAGAAGCTATCGCTCAACAAATATGCAGAAGGAAGTGGAGATGGATTGGACATACACTGAGAAGGCCGACTGGGGACATCACGCATTAGGCCAGGCCCTCGATTGGAACCCAGATGGGAAACGACGAGTTGGGCATCGAGGCGAGAGTGACATGGGGGAGATCGTATGAGGAAGAAATTGAAGCTTATGGGCAGTCGTGGAGCCAGGTAGAAAAGACTGCAGAGAACAGAGTGCGATGGAGACGTGTTACTGAAGCCCTATGTTTCACTAGGAACCCAAGCGACAAAATAATAATTTCATGGGATAAGAAAGCCTTGTTTATTAGATAAACTGAAGAATTTCAGTTCATGAAGAGATACCTGAGAGGTGATAGCTACCCTCATGGACTAATAGAAAAAGTCAAAAAGAGAAGAGAAAAAGCATGTGGACTCAATTATCTTCAAAAAACATTATGCTTCTCCCTCCAGTTTTAAAGGGAATGCAGCTGATGAACAAAATTTATAGAAGAAAAAGAACTGTTCTAAAGATTACCTACCCAGCGACTGTTAGTTTCTTTCGACAAATTTTTTTCAACTACAACAGTCGAAAGTTGACACGTATCTGGCTCGTATCAAGCGTAAATGTCACAACCAATTCTTATGTAAATGCCAGAGCATGCACATCGGAAAGACCGAGAGGAGAACTGGGACTCCACTTTGTGAACATTCGAAATAAGTCATACTGTCTTAAAAATCCCACGGCCAGACATTTCATGGATACAGGTAACGATGTCCAAGATTTCAACTAAATTCAAAATGGTGAATAAATAGTATAGTGTTACTTAATTTACGATCCCAGAAGCGATTGATATCGGAATGACTAAGCCAAA